GATTTTTTATTAATGAATCACCGTGAGGTACAGTTACAGACTTACAAACTTTTGTGCTTGTGTTTCAGTCATACAATGACTGAGTGCCCATCTCTCCACCAGTGCCCATTTTCCACCACCAATGGTTCCAGCATCCTCCCACCACCCCAACCCTGAAACCCCTACCCCACCCCGCCTCTGTGGCAGAGCATTCACTTTTGTTCTCTCTCTCCTTTTGGGTGTTGTGGTTTGCAATATAGGTATTAAGTGACCATCATGTTCAGTCTATAGTCTACTTTTAGCTCGCATCTCGCATCCCAAGCGGGTCCTCCTAGCTCCCTTTACTTGGTGGTCCCTTCTCTGTCTAAGCTGCCTTTCCCCTCCAGCATGAGGCCAGCTTCTAAGCTATAGAGCAATCCTCCTTGTATTTAATCTCTACTATTCTTGGGTGTTAGTCTCCCATTCTGTTACTTTATATTCCACCCACGCTCTCCCCCTGGGAAGCACCGCTGGCTGGGAGTCCTGGGGCTCCTGGGAGCCCGGGGAGGTAACCCTCGTTGACACGCAGCTCAGCCGTTCCTGACACGTCTCCTCCCCAGCCGCACTGGCCGGAGGGAATTGCTCGGGAAAGGCCATGACATTGGGAGGATCGCAGCTGCGGGCTGTGACGCCTTCCTCTTGAGCAACCGACAATGAATGACGATACGGAAACGGACTCCAAAGAGAGTGGCAAGTATGAAGACGACTTTGAGAAAGATCTGGAGTGGCTGATTAACGAGAAAGATCCCAGTGAAAACGGCGGGGCAGAGGCGGAGGAGGAGTGTGTGAGCTACCAAGCGGGCGAGGGGCTGGCGAACACTTAGCGTTTCGGAAGCGATCCTTGAACCGCACATCCCTAGGCGAGGCAGTAACCAGTGTTCCCAGCACCGTCCCAGAGACGAGAAAACTAAGGTGTAAATGGGGTATCCCAAAGCACAGGGCTGTTTGGTGAGAGAGCTGGAAATAAGATAGCACTTTCAATAAAGCCAAGAGCAGGAGCTGGAGCAAGAGCACAGCGGGGAGGGCGTTGGCCTTGCATGTGGCCGACCGGGGTTTGATCCCCAGCATCCTAGAGGGTCCCTGAGCACCGCCAGGAGTAATTCCGAGCACATAGCCAGGAGTAACCCCTGTGCATTGCCGGGTGTGACCCAAAAATCAAATAGCCAAAAAAAAAAAAGCAGACACTGGGATTGTAAGATTATAGCATCAAGGGCTGGAGCGATAGCACAGCGGTAAGGCGTTTGCCTTACGTGCAGCCAGCCCGGCCGAGCTGGGTTTGATTCCTTCACCCCTCTCGGAGAGCCCAGCAAGCTACCAACAGTATCTCGCCTGCACGGCAAAGCCTGGCAAGCTACCTACCCGTGATGTATTGAATATGCCAAACACAGTAACAACAAGTCTAACAATGGAGACATTACTGGGCCTGCTCGAGAAAATTGATGAACAATGAGAGGACAGTGTTTTTTTTTTTTTAATATATATTCCACACGAGCGCAATCTATGTCTGTTCCTTTCTTTCTGACTCATTTCACTTAACATGACACTTTCCATGTGAATTTCATGACTTCATCTTTTCTAACAGCTGCATAGTATTCCATTGTGTAGATGTACCAGTTTCTTTAACCAGTCATCTGTTCTCGGGCACTCGGTTTTTTTCCAGATTCTGGCTATTGTAAACAGTGCTGCAATGAATATACAAGTGCAGATTTTCTACTATACTTTTTTGCATCTCCGGGACATATTCCCAGAAGTGGTATTGCTGGGTCAAATGGGAGCCAATTTCTAGTCCGTACTGTTTTCCAAAAGGGCTGAACCAGTCAGCATTCCCACCAACAGTGAAGGAGAGTTCCTTTCTCCCCACATCCTCGCTTACACCGGTTGCTTTTGTTCTTTTGGATGTGGGCCAGTTTCTGTGGTGTGAGATGATGTGATACACATTTTAAACTGTGGGGCCAGATTGTGATATTTGTACACTTCCTTGCACACAGAGCTCGGTTCTGTGCTCCATTGTACTTCAGTAGGTGTGGTGCCTGCACACTTAGTTGACAAATATCAAGGCACACAGGCTGTGGTGCTTGTTTGGGTCATTGCAGTGCTCAGCTTCCTGCCATGACATCAGCACGCCTTTTAGTTTTGGTACTTACCAAAGGCTGGGCCTCTTTTATTAGTGGAGGTTGGCCCCTTCACAGCTGTGGTCGAGTGGGAGTGCTCAAAGGGACTACATGTGGTGCTGGGAATCAACGTGGAGTTAGCCCTGTACTCTCTCTCTGGTTTCATTTTGTGGCGTTTATACATTACCTGTCTGGTTTGGCTTGAAATTGCTTGTGGTGCCAGGGAATGCAGGCAGCAAAGATAACAAAATCTTCAGCAGCACATGTGGAATTTGAACTTGTGACATTCTGCCTTGAGCTATTCCCCTGGGCCCTCTCTTCATCTTCTGGCGTACCTATTAGCTATGTGTTTCCTACGACAGATTTGGACTCTTCTGGGCTTTCTTCATTTTTCTTAAGTATCTCCTCTTCCATTTGAATAACTGCTGGAAATTTGTTATCCATTTTACCTAGTTCCTATTGAGCCAGCGTGACACCCATGGGGACTTTCATTTTGTCTATTGTGTTTTGCATGAGTGCTGTGTATCTGTTTTTTTTTTTTTTAATCCAAGCAGGGGACTGGATACTAGAGTGGGGAAGGCACTTGCCCTGCATGCTGCTGACCCGGGTGTGATCCCCAGCACCCATATGATTGCCCGAGCTGGAGTGGAGTGACCCCCTGAGCTCAGAGACAAGACCTGAGGCACCGTCAAATACAGTCCAACATAAGACAAATATCATGGCACCGTGATTTCCATTCTTACAGCTGTTTCAGTACAGTTGGAAGTTTTCCCACACTACCCTCACCAACAGTGTCTACTCCACCACCAACACCCCCAGGTTCTCTCCCAACCCTCAGATGTCTCCTTTGCAGGCACTTTTTTTTTTGCATAGAGTAGATGCACTATAATTATTTTATAAATGAAAATAAAGTCAGAAAAAGTATAATTAGTGATTGCCATATTTTCGTACACTAATTACAAATTGTTTTTATTTAATTAGTGAAGCACCATGAGGTACAGTTATAGACTTATAAATTTTCGTGCTTGGGTTTGTTATACAATGATCAAGTACCCATCCCTCCACCAGTGCCCATCCTCCCCCACCACGGGTTCCAGCATCCCTCCCACCCCCCATCCCCCCGTCTCACCCTGCCTCTGTGGCAGGGCATTCCCCCTTGTTCTCTCTCTCTTCTTTTGGGTACTGTGTTTTGCAAGAGGCACTGAGTGGCAATCATGTTTGGTCTATAGACTACTTTTAACATGCTTCTCCCACCCTGGGAGGGTCCTCACAACACCCTTCATTTGGGGCTCTCTTCTCTATCTGAGCTTCCTTCTCCCCTAGCACCTGTGGCTGGCCTCCAAGTCATGGAGCAAGATTCCTGGTACTAATCTCAGCCATACCTGGGTGTTAGTCTCCCATTTTGTTGCTTTATGTCCCCCAGATGAATGCAATCTTTCTGTCTGTCCCGCTCTTTCTGACTCATTTTGCTTAACATGATACTTTCCATGTAGTACCACTTGTATGTAAATTTCATAACTTCATCTTTTCTAACAGCTACATAGTACTCCATTGTGTAAATGTACCAAAGTTTCTTTAACCAGTCATCTGTTCTCGGGCACTCAGATTCTGGCTATTGTAAAGATTTTTTCCAGATTCTGGCTATTGTAAAGAGTGCTTTTGCAGGCACATTTTAAAATTTGGTTACTGCGGTTTAGATCCTGTTTAGTATTGCTGGCTCTGTAGTTTATATCTATAGATTTATCTATAGATTCACCACATATATACGTTTAGATCTCTATTCTATCTTGGAATTTTATGTTTCAATCCCTGTAGTGAATTTCTCAGCAACTGCATTTCCTGTCTTATTTATTCACTACAGCTACTTAATCTCATCAATTTTAAATGGTCTCTTATTAGATTCCCATTCCCGTGTAAAATGATTTCGGAGGGATTTTTTCTCATTATGTTGTCAGAGTTAACCTTTTGCTGGCATCAACCCCCCCCCCCCCCCCCCCCCCACACACACACCCAGTCCCAAAAGGAGGTGCTATTGCTCTTTCTCTGAAACTGTTGTTTTTCAGGATTTCAGCTATGTTGGAGAAGTCAGCTGTCAGGAGGTTCTTTCAAGTGTTGGTGTGAGGACTAGCCTGAAACCCCTCACTGTCCTCCCTTCTTGTGATCAGATTTACTTTTTGTTTGAGCTCAAGGACTGCTCTGAGGATCTCCTTTGGTTTTATGGCTGCAGATCATTTGCTGCCCAACGCGGTTTACTACAGAGATAGACTTGCCTGGATTTCCAATGAAGAGGTGCAGGGCCTCTGCCTTCTAAGCTTTGCCAGTTTTTCTTTCACATGACCTGAGCTACAGGGCAGAATTTTGTACCCTGCATCTTTAAAGAGGTCCAGTGATAGTGCAGGGAGACGGTAGGGAGGCAGCTTCCTTGCCATTGTCTTGAACAGACAAGTTCATTCTTCTCTAACTTTAATGGGGAATGAGTTGAGAGAAAATACTGATATTTCTGGCAAGAGTTAAGCTTTTTGCCATGGAGGCTGATGGAAGTGGCAGTTAAGCAAGGCACATGGAAATAGGTAAAGAATGCAGGAAAAATTAGATCAGAGATTTTTTTTCCAGTGGGAAGTTTACCTCCAACCCATTGCATTCTTTAGATATCTTGCTTTGCCTTTAAAATGTATTGCACAAAAACAAGTCATTAGGATAAAAATGCCAATTTCATTAGTATCTTGGGCTTTATTGTCTTGAATATTGATTCTCTCTCATGTTAAAAATCCAAGTACTGTTGAGGAAACTGTTAAATTCACTGCATGTGATATTTTAGTATTTCATTTTCTAAGAGGCAGCAAAGAAATGTATACAAATACAATAAACATCTCAAAAAAGAATGATACAACTTTTATTTTCCATGGATTTTGAAGATACTTTTGCTACATACTTTATGTACTTTTATGAGATTATATTTTTTCATCTGTATGAACTTCAACCTTATACAATTTAAAGGTGATGTTTGGTAGTGTATCTATAATCTTTAAAAAGTTTAGAGTTTTTGGAATGTACAGTTTATGAGGTAAAATCAAGATTACATTAAAAGTTTTCTCCTCTGCACTAATTTCGCAGGGAGGCTCAAATGGCGAGTACACTATTAAATGACATTTACTATCAAAAATAGGAGTTCATTTGAGTTACTATGAAAAACATAAGCCACTGTTACTGGCACAGTGGTACATCTTACCATTTTAGACATTCAACTATATATAAATCTCTGGGCTGTTAACACTCAAACTCATTTGTACTGCCAAATGTGGCACTTTAAAGAAGTTTCTAGAAAACAATCGCAATCACTGTTTTGGGGTAAAGTTATCAGCCTATACGTAAGAGATTAAAATTAAATAAAATGTAAACATACAGTATTTTATAGTGACAGATCATTCTTACCACTTGGAAAGGCCAAGTTTATCCGTTTCTTTTTTGAAGGAAGGTTAATGTTTTTTTTCTACAGCACAAATCATTTGACATAAAACAGTTACAATACATGCCCATTCTAATATAAGATTCTTCAGAGTTCTTCGAAGCACAAAACATGTTTTTTCCAAAGACTGACAGAAGTGCTCAGTAATCACTAAAATGCTAAGCTTCAGCAACTAAAAATTAGTGATTCACTATCCTAAAACTCAAATAATAAATTAAAAAGGCTAGTTACAAGTGTTTTTACAGATAACAGATGTGATAAAACAAGACTTTTAGATAGTTTCATTACAAACTATTATTACTGGCAGTCATTGACATCTATGCGAGATGTACAATATGACACTTGACAAAATTCAATCTGGTCATCCAATAACTCACAAATGCAAGCTCACAATACATTAACGAATTATGCAATTGCAAAGTGCTCTAATGCAACATTAACCACATGCAATCAACAATTTGGAACAGTATCCAAACAGACATTACATTAAACAATTTTTCAAGAAAGAAAGCAGCTTGAAGTTTACTGGTGCAAATTAATTTTGTCTTCAGATTTGGTGCCCCAAACAGAAAAGTTAGGTTTGATTATGAATTCTGACGGTGATGGCAGTAGTTATATGGAAGAAGCAGCAAACTTATGGGAGTTCTTAAAAAATTAGGTACATCAGGTAGGTGAAGTGAGAGCATGTATGTGTGTATATATATATATATTTCTACACTTGGTATGTATAGTTTATATATATGCCATATGTGTATGCCATGTACTTGTGCACATACATATGGTTCCAAGGCTCCTACGATCCAATCAAGTAAGTTTGAAATTCAGTTAATTATGATTACTCTTTAAAAGGTAACCTATCTAAAAGTACTCTGGTTCTTTCCATGTTCTCAGAATGGGAAGAGATACTTTTGGAGTAAACATTAAATTATTTTTTAGGCCAAGTAAACTTGTGCTTTCTCTGAAAGTGACTCATCTGTGAATTCATGTATATATACGTGTGATGAAGAACTCCACATTTATCAAACAAGAAGCTTCTTTTTCCATGTATAGTCTTTCATTCAGTCTGTCTGCTAAGCCCCTTCAGTTACTCACATAATCCCACTTACCAAGCCCCTCCAGTTAGTCATCATAATCCCACTTACCAAATAATTAAGACAAATGAGGAGGTAGAAATATAGCACTAGATTGCTTTCACAGCATCAGACTTTAACATTTTTCTATAGCATGTTAGTGTAAGTTTTAGTCATTCTGAATTTTTTCACTTGGTGGAATCTTCGTAAAGCACTCAGATCAGGTTATCACCGTTACACTCATGCTGACTGGTCAAAATTATGAATTGTATATCGTTTGCCTCTTAGGAAGTTTTACAAGAAGGCATGTCCAAAAATAAAAATAAAAAAAGGAAAGAAAAGTTCTAACCAAATAACAAAAAAAAAGAGAAAAAAAGAAAATTGCTATTTCTGCGGCTTGCATTTGAATAAGGTGCCAGCCTCTACCTAACAACATAGCACTGAAAATGGCAAAACTGATATGCTCTAGTCTCAATGCCAGTGCTAAATGCCACTGTTTTTGTAAAAGCAATACAGAAATAATTTTAGTACGCAACAAAATAAAATGTACGGCATTAAAAATAAAAGTTGTATTTTCACTTGATTACAAAGTACTGAATGATAAAGGCGATCAAGATGGAGAAGAAAGCGAACAGCACAAGGATGACGGCTGCACACTGCTCATCGCTGAGCGCCCGCCGGGTCCTCGGGCTCTCCACAGTGTCTCTGTGGGTGCTGGCGGGGGGCTCTGTCCTCTGAGAGATGAAAAGCACTGTGGTGCTGTAAGGGCCCACGAGGTCCTGATGCCCCACAGGATCTTGGCACTGGCGAATGGCACACACACGGAAACGATATTCACAGTTCAGCTGAAAGCTTGAATACCGGAAAGAAGAGTCGGGGCCTTTGTAAATCTGTTAGGAACAGGAAAAGAAGAGTCTGAGAACCAGGGAGATCTGGGCTAAAAATGTGACTCTGGTCATGGAAGTGCCACTGTTTTTAATCTTTTAAAATTACTGTGTCTTTAGAAAATTCATCTCCATCAGGGCAGGAGAAATGTAAGGTTCTGGAATCTGCCATCAGAGTACACCAATCAGTTAAGGAGTGAAGGTGCATTCCTAAAGTCGCTGGAGAACAAGCAAAGTTAGTCCATAAGCTGCTGCTTCGTTTTCAGTGTATAAAATCGATCCATTTAAGAAGGAAGTGTTTTAAACATCTCCACTGTATTGTAGCCCAAGCAGGCTGAAGAAAACTGTGGACAAAAGGAACTTTCTATAAGATGTCTACAGCAAATAATCTTACAAACTTAGATAACCTAGAATCACAGAATAGAATTTTAAAACTTGCTTATTCTGCCCATGCCATGAAAGGGAAATAACAAGTGTAGTTCCAAAGACTTTCAATAGTATGCTACTTTAGAGGATATATATTGAAATTGGTCACTTCTAGGGGGCTAGAACTTCTCTACCACTTCACATTCTGTACGATCTTAGACCACTTACCTTAGTACAGTGGACATCACAGTAGTGATTTCATTATGAGAATGACATAAAGTGTGAGAATGAAATAAACTATTTCTTGTTAAAGAACAGAGCTAACATAACGGGAAAGCTCCCATTATTGCCTCCCTCTCCTCACTCAATACACAATACACAAGGCTCACAGGAACGTTACGAACTCGCCCACACCTGGTGGATTAGCAGTCAGATCAACAACGGGAAAAGCAATTTTTGGTACAAATTTACCTGCCTCATATTTTATCTGTGTGGTAAATCTAACTAGTCACAAGAAATATCTTTGCGTCACTTTGCATCTTCAGCACCCAGCATATTAAGATAAAAAAAAAATAGATGATGGTGCTACAGATTCAGGGCAACGGAGAATCCTCCTATGTGCCACAGGAAGCCATCAGCAGCTCCATCCAGCTTCTAGAAGATCCATTACAGAGGGTAAGAATGTTCAGGATCGTTTCCCACCTCGGGTTTTTCCTTCGTTTCTACCTACTAGGATTTGGTTCTTCAAAAGCAGAACAACTTTTAACAAAAAGAATGGATGGGCAAACATTATTCATTTCATTAGGTGGTAAAGGCTGGAGTGACAGCACAGCGGGTAGGGCGTTTGCCTTGCATGAGGCCAAGCCAGGTTCGATTCCTCTGGCCCTCTCGGAGAGCCCAGCAAGCTACCTGGAGTATTCCGACTGCATGGCGAACCTTGGCAAGCTCCCCTTGGCATATTCGATATGCCAAAAACAGTAGCAAGTCTCACAATGGAGACGTTACTGGTGCCCGCTCAAGCAAATCAATGAACGGGAGGACAGTGTTAACCTTAAAGAAAATGGTGAATGTATGCTAGTTCTGAGGGCACAGTAGATGTTTCAACCTCAGCCCTTATCAAATGGAATGAGCAATGCTGAAAGGATTAGCTTAAAATAAACAAGGTTGTATTTAGAAAGCACTATGAAGAACTACACAAAATCTGAAGTCAGTTTAGAAAAAATGTCTTATTTTGCATTAAATACATAAAATAAAACTTTGCATTAAAGTTTTTCTTCTCATTTGTCTCTAAATGTACATGGTAATATAGTTAGAAAGAAAGCAACAAATGAATGAGGCTCAGCATGCATTAACATATAATTTGGGGAGCCATACTCAGAGGTGCTGGGGTTCCTGGAAATCACCTCAGTGACACCACCTGAGCTATCTCCTCGGCACCAGAAGTACATTAGTTTTAAACAAAATGCATATTTAAAACTTGAATGTTTTTAAACTTTGGGTTTTTGGAAACAACCTGGTGTTTCTCAGGGCTTATTCCTGGTGGTATTTGGGGGAACCACATGGGGGTGCTGGGGATAGAACCCGGGTTGGTCGTGTGCAAGGCAAACACCCTTCCAGCTTATAGCTCGAGCCCTTTAAAAGTAATGTTGGACATCCCAGAGCCACTTCCAGGTAAACAGCCCAGCTACACAGCTCCAGACCAATCTCGAAAGAGAAGGCAACCCGAGTCAATGAAACTCATGGGTATATTGGTTCTTGGGAGGGGGGCAGGCTGAGAATCATCCTAGTTCTACAGGTCCTGGAGCTCCTGGAGTGCATGGCTGCACATGCTCCTACTGAAAACCCAGCAGAAGAACAGCAAATTAGATGGGTAAGTAACATGGAGCCCACTAAGCTCAATAGCAAAAACAGCTCAGTAAATCCTCAATGATTTTAATAACCCCATTTTTCGTTATAACAAGCAACAGGAAAAAATTATTTTGTGCCTGCCAAGGGGGCATGTCGGGAGAGGTGGGAAACTGGGGACAGTGGTGGAGGGAGGGTCACACGGTGGTGGGGTTGGTGTTGGAATATTGAATGCCTAAACAACTGTTTCATGAACAACTTCTGGTACTTAAAGTATATAAAAGTAGGTAACGGAATATTCTTAATAAACTTTCAGCACCAATATTACAAACCAGAGAGGGAGAGAGGGAGAGAGAAAAAGAGAGAGAGGGAGAGGAAAAGCACCTGTCATAGAAGCAGGCAGGGGGTGGGGGGTGATAGTATTGGGAAATGTCCACTGGTGGAGGGATGGGTGTTGTAACACTGTATGACTTAAGTCCAATCATGAACAGCTTTGTAAGGGTCTATCTCACAGTGATTCAATAAAAAAATTAAAAAATATAGTTATTTGGCACATGCACCACTTAATGACATGTGAATGTCATAAGGTATAATCATTATATAATCCTAGATGATATAGCCAACTATACTCCTGGATTTACATGGTAGAACCTATCTGAAGCGATTTTAATATGCAGAACAATTCTGCATCACTGTTAAGCAACACATCCCTATAACATAATTAGTGGATATACTACTGTAAATACTTCCGTAACTGATACATGAACAAAAAATTGAAAAACTCACAATTAACCACAAAACTCTTATCTCTGTCATTCTTTTCTATTAGTGCTGAGGCAATTTTTTTCTGTGCTTAAGAACTGACTGGAGCTCATGCCTTGTAATAACAACCTTCGGAGTACTGCCCTGGTGACGTCTCCCCAACAAATATGTAAGAAACAAAATAAAGAGGCTATGGAGATAACAAAAGAGCTGGAAGCACATGCGTGGCAGATGGGAACCCTGGTCCAAATCTTGGTACTGCCTGGAGTGACCCCTGAGCACTGTCGGTGTGGCCTCCCCAAACCAAAAAAATTTTTTCCCAAATGTGGGTCTCATTTCCAAACATTCAGTTTCATTAGGGTTATAGGCGTCTTTGAGAAAATCTAAATTCGGGCAACAGAGGTGGCACTCAAGTCCGGGCACAAGCATTGGTTCATGGCTTTGTAAGCCAAGTGCTTTCTTTTCCCTGAAATGCAAATAAGGAAGAATCCATTCCTTCCTCACAGCTGAACACTGTAAGAAACCACTTCCGTATGACTCCATCGAGTTTCTAGGTGAACCAGTCCTCAAGTCTGACTATATTCAGGCTTGATTTATACTTAGTTACACTTCATTTTACCCAAGTTTACAGACAGCAGTATGTATTTTAGTAGTAATAACTTTACAATTTTAACCAGGCCATTACTTTTCACTTTTGTGACAGTATTCAATAAAATAAAGAACAGGACATAGTCATAAAACATACTTTGTGTTAGATAATTCTGCTGAAACTGTAGGCTATTCATAGTATTCTAAGAATGTTTAAGGTAGGCTAGGCGAAGCTTGATGGTCAACAGTTTAGGTGTGTTAAATGTATTTTCAACTTAGCGTATTGTGAAGTGTATAACAGGCCTAAAACCCCATTGTGAGCTGGAGAGATAGCACAGCGGGTAGGGCGATTGCCATGCACACAGCCGACCCGGGTTCGATTTCCAGCATCCCATATGGTCCCCTGAGCACCACCAGGTGTGACCCAAAAAGAAAAAACAAAACAAAAAACCCCCCCAAAAAACAAATCCCCACTGTAAGTAGAAAAAGACTTAAATGTTAATGAGTAATGAGTTCTGACAGAAGAGCTGCCTTAGATATTGACTGGGCTCCTAGGATAAATTGATACGTTTATAAAGTGACTGTACTGTCCCCAATTATTTTCCTTTCACCTTGTTATAACATTTTGGTTAGGAAGCACCTGATTTGAAAAAAAAAGAAAAACAACACACACTTCCTTGAAGCTATCAGGTACCTGGCATTTGGTATGAATATTCCCAAACAGTCTTTATCCAGAGTCATGAAGTATTTAGGAGTTATAATGTATGCTGAGACAGAAGGAAGTAAAGCTGAAATTTTAAAGAATGTGGGCAAGCACAGGTGAGCTATTAATACACAGTGAGTTGCCAAATTTCACAAACTTTCAAATTCTTTTTTGGTTTGATTTTTGGTCACAGCGATAGTGTTTAGGGGCTATTCCTGTGTTCAGGAGTGACTCCTGCTCTGCTTGGGGACCGAATGTGCTGCTGGAGATTCAAAGTCTCATTGGCTGCATGTAAGGTAAGCTCCTAACCTTCTGTACTATCTCTTTTTCTAGCCCATATTTTTTAAAAATTTTTTTGGCTTTTTGGGTCACACCCAATAATGCTCAGGGGTTACTCCTGGCCCTGCACTCAGGAATTACTCCTGGTGGTACTTGGGGGACCCTATGGGATACCAGGGATTGAACCCGGTCTGCTGCGTGCAAGGCAAATGCCCAACCTGCTGTACTATCACTCTGGCTCCCCGGCCCACAAATTTTAAAACAAAGTTTTTCCTGCTCCCCCCTCCCCCCCGCCCCACCTCTCTGCTGCCCTCAATACCTGGTGGTTCACAGGGGACCATAAATGGTGCCAGGGATCAAACCTGGGCCAGCCCTGTACAAGTCAAATAGAGCCTTAACCCCTGTGTTATTTCTTAGGCCCAGACACTTTAAAACTTTCGAAAGATTTAAGTGAACATATAAAGGAAGACGTTCTCAGGAAATTAGACTCTTAGACTCTAAGAAAGCTAAAGTGATAATAGGGTTAATTTGCTCTTAAATTAGAATTACATTGCTGCTTTATACAGCAATATAGCCTATAAAATTCATAATGCTCAAATGTGGGACCCTATTTCCTTTAACATGTAATACAATTATATTTTCTTTAATATTAATTTTGCTTCCTCCCTGGAAGGAACCTGCTTATCTATAAATTATGTCCAAATCTAATTATAAGTCAATTTGGAGATGACTTAATAAAAAAAAAATCACATGCCAAATTTAATCTGCAGCCTTTTGTAATTTCAATTATTATACTTCCATAACTTAATAGATCTTGAAGAAAGAAAATTACATTGAAAAATAGCCTATTAATAGCTACAAGAGTACCAGAGTGAAATATTTTATAGTGCAAAAAAGAAAATAAAATGCGAACTAAAAGAAAATTGAAAAAATCTTATAAAAATTAAGAGACGCAGGAAAATATATCCATCTGACTGCTAGTCACCCTTTACCAGGAAGCTATCTTTGAATTTCCTGCACACGAAGATGACAGGCTTCTACAACAACTGCATCTACTGATGTATTTATAACAATGCTTTATAAAATGACTATTATTCCAAATGCCTCCCTACTAATCTCTTTGCATCCGTACAAGTCCCACTCTAGCCAGAATGACTGTGTATCTGATCATGTGACTATTCTGATCAAAATCTTCCACTGGTTCTTCATTTTATGTGGAGTAAAAATTGCTCCAGTATATGATCTTTATGTCATTCATAATGATGAGTAAAATGGCATGACTGTTTACGGTGCCCACCCATATTGGTCTTCTCCTTGTTTGCTTAATTTGACCAGCTTGTTCTGGCTGCTGTTGTATCTTTGTAACTTCTTAAGACTTTTTCATGGAATATCCTCCCATTTTCATTTTATCGTGGTCTCTATTCAAAGATCACTTCCATGTACTAAACACCATTACCTGTGCCTCCAAGTATTTCTCATTCCTTTTATAGACTTTTATTATTATTATTATAATAATACTTTTATTATTATTATTTTATTACTATGGCTTTTGTTATTATGCCACACCTGGCAGTGCTCAGGACTTACTCCTGGCTCTGAACTTAGGAATTACTCCCGGTGGGCTGGGGATACCATATGGGACACTGGGGATTGAACCCAGCTCAGCCAATGCAAGGCAAGTACTCAGCCCTCAGTAATATAGTTGAGTCCCTGACTTGCAAGTTTTATCCACTACACTTGACCACAATCTGACACAATACTGATGTGCTTACTTGCTTTTACTGGCTTTTTCCCTCCTAGAACATAAGCTCCATGGAGGTAAAAAGATGCAGATGAACATTTTGTTCAATGTTCTATGCTGAGTGCTTGTTACAGACTTCAATAAATACTTGACAAATGAGTCAGCAATCTGCTTTAACATCAGTTCATGATTCTGAGACCTCCAATTTAAAATTTTTCTTTTGGGGGTTGGCGTACACCAGGCTGTTTTCAAGGCTACTCCTGGCTCTCTGTTCAGGCATCACTTTTAGTGGTATATGGGGGGGGGGCATTTGGGGTACTGAAGATAGAACTGGGTCAGGTTCATGCAAGGCAAGTGCCTTACCTGCTGTATTCTTTCTCGGGCCATAGCTTGAGATATTAGATAACTATTAATCTTTGGAACATAGTTAAGTACTGAATAAATATTTTTGAATCATGAAGGTAAAGACAGTTAAATATTTCTTTGGAAATACATAAAAATGAGAATAGAAGAATTATATCCATAGAAAAATATTTTGACACAAACCTGTTTGAATTCTGAATCTTTTCCCACCAGAACTTGCAGACTATAAATAACTGGATCACCTTTCATTGGCTGCAAACACTCCCATGTAATTTCACAAATATGATCACTTACTTTCTCTATTTTGGGGGCTGTAAGAGAAAAAAAATGGCTTTATTCGTTTTTTAAACTTGGCACATCACACAGACACTTTGTTTTAACTAATACAAATATAATACTTCTTGAAATCCAATTACAAACTTGAAAATGAGTATCAGTCAACTTTTGAAAGAGTTAATGGTTCATTCTTACCAGGTACCACAATGTTCAGAGTGACCAACCATACCGCTAAACAAGCTAACAGAGGGTATGACAGATTTAGAATGACTCTTAATGGTACTCAATAAGAACACATGACATTTTATATTTTAAGAATAGGAGATAAGCTGAAGAATAACCCTAGTTTCTTGATCACGTAAGACTGTACCAGCAGAAAATTGTACAAAGGGCTGCACTGGTGATCTTAAAAGCCACTATATCAGATGAAGGGAGAGAAAACTACTCAGTGACTTCATCAACATTATTAGCAAAATTGTTCTTAGTCTTCTAATAATGAATTTGTTTACTAAATAACATACTCAAATAAATGATTCAGGCCAATGTATTAGAAGTCTTTTTGGTTTAAAGCATACAGTGCCATCCTTGTTGAATCCTAAAAGAACCCCCAAACAGTTGATTTTAAAGATACACAGGCATACGCTGGAGATACTGTGGGCTTGGTTCCAGAATCATTCAAGTATCAAAAATAAAGCAAGTGACAATAATTTATCAGTTTCCCAGTGTATACAGAAATTATATTCAAATCATACCATTGGAATGGGCTATAGCATTGTCTAAAGAAACACTGTATTATCTTTTAAAAATTATATTATCATTTATTTTTATTTTTTGTTTTGGGTCACACCTGGCGATGCACAGGGGTTACTCCTGGCTCTGCGCTCAGGAGTTACTCCTGGTGGTTCTCAGGGGACCATATGGGATGCTGGGAATCGAACTCGGGACGGCCGCGTGCAAGGCAAACGCCCTACCTGCTGTACTATCTCTCCAGCCCCCTATATTATCATTTTTTAACAAAGAAATAACCATCATCTGAGTAGAGCCTTCTGTGGCTCAATCTTTTGCTGGTGGAAAAATCTTGAAAAAATTAAGTCTTTGTGAAGTACAATAAAGCAAGATAAGCCTGAAGGCAAATATGATTTAAAATCAAAACAAGAATTGTTTCCCATAACACATTAACTGGCTTTTTCATTTAAAGCCAAATGAATGAAATACTAATGATTAAAAACAACCAGTTTTTTTTAAAAAAGTACAATAGCAGAAACAGCATAGAAAAACTATGTTATCTATTTAACTAAGTATTTTTATGTTATATATCAGTGACAAAAATGAACACTTGTCTGAGTAACCATGTGCCAGATAAAATTTTTTTGGAGTGGTGGCGGTGGAGTTTCCAAGCGGGAAGAGGGCTGTGGACTCACCAGGCCAGCAGCTCCATGCCAGGAGGAGGACGTTGCTTGGCCTGCTGTGCCCGGGACACTGGGCCAGCCACATAGTGCTGCGGGCCTCAGGGCAGACCCTGGCAATGCCTTGGAACAGAACCCAGGAAGAGCGCATGCAAAGTATGTCTAGTAACCCTTCCTGGTATCCAGAAAATTCAGCTTTCATTTTTGAATAGAACTCAAAGTAGGTGGGCATTTGTCCATACTGTCTTTCTTGTACTTTACATGTTTATATTTGACGAAAAATATTAATAATCATAAAGTACTATATGAAAATGCTCTTACAATCACTATTAAAGAAAATGGCTTAAAGATGAATAACTTACCTTTCAAGGCAGCTGGAACAGATTTTGGAGTAGTGAAAATATATTCTTGGGAGAGAGGACCTTCCCCTGCTTCATTACAAGCTTGTATACAAAATTTATAGGATGTTGACTCATTAAGTCTTTGTACTTTGTATGTATGACAGGGTCCTCTGTACAAAGACACAAACCTAAAATGGAAATGACTTATTAAAAATAAGCCTTGGCTACATTATTAAAAATGCCTAAATACAAGGGAAACCGTATATGAACCAAGACCACAAATGTTAACATCATTATAAACACAGGGCCTTACAACAGTAAGACTTCATTTTGTATAGACATATGGAGATTTGTATGTAAGAATACATATTTTAAAGTTAAAATCCCCCCACTTAATTAGAATATTAAAGTAATCCCAAGGAATTCTTTATTACTGTTTTTAAAAATCAAAACAAAATTAAATAATTATTAATTTCTCAATGTGTCATGGTATCCTGAAAACTGCTATACTTCATGATCAATAGTAACTATTTCTTAGGCTTCTGATAAAGCTTTGTTTCTGTATATTGTAATATAAATTTATTTATAAATTTTATAATTATGAATTCATTATACATTTTGTGTTTTAGGCCACATCCAGTTGTGCTCTTGGCTCTGTGCTAGGGATCACTCCTGGGGTGCTTAGATTATGCGTGGTGACATGGTATTGGAGACTGAACTGGAGGTCAGACAGTTCAACGCAAGGTACACACCTTACCCCTTTAAATTATGTCTCTCTGACTAATAAAATTTCAATATTACGAAAGGCTTTAGTTTTATACCCAATATGACAAAAGTTCTTTAGGTGCTAATAATTTTGAAGTTTGCAGTTTTATAATAAAATATAGACTATAACAATCTTAAATCAATAAAGTATCAATTTTTTTTAAATTTATGAATTTTGGGTAACACCTGGCAATGTTCAGGGATTGCTCCTGGCTCTGTGCTCAGGAATAATTCTTCGCGGTGCTCAGGGACCATATAAGATGCTGGACCTGGAACCCAGGCTGTGTGCAAGGTAAATGCCCTACCTGTTATATTAACTCTCTGGCCCTTATTCTATTATCTTCTAACCAGAATTATACCCATGTCCAGCAAGCCCTATACAAGAAAATTTTAAGGAATATCCTCCAAGAGATAAGGTTATTCAGATCAAATTCTACCAGGAAAAAAGGCTCACATTCAGAGAGTTGCAGATTTCAGGAAATGATCAATACTGTTTGTTTTGTGAAATACACTTTTGCTGTTAACCTGGTTTATTTATTATTTTAAATGTGAAAAGGTATCTGAGAGTGCACTTATGCATAAATAGTATGGATTTTTTCATTACAAAACACGTGGCAGTTCAATAAAAACAAATAACCTTAGGAAGGCAGTATTTCCTGGAGCCTCCATCCCTCTTGGAGAGTCCGGCAAGCTACCGAGAGTATCCCGCCCACACGGTAGAGCCTGGCAAGCTATCCATGACATAGTTGATATGCCAAAAACAGTAACAAAAATGGGCCTCATTGCCCTGGCCCTGAAAGAGCCTCCAATATGGCAGCATTGGGAAGGACGAGTAAGGAGAAGCTGCTAAAATCTCAGGGCTGGGATGAATGCAGATGTTATTGGCGGCTGCTTGAGCAAATTGATGAACAACAGGATAACAGTGATACAGTGAACCTTAGGAAAAATTATTACCAGTATTCTAAACTCATAAACTATACAACTGTTTCTGGTAAGGTGAAAAGTGAAATTCCAATTCTTAAAATATCGTAAGAGGAACTGCTGTGACCACAACACCCAAAAGGAGAGAGAGAACACAGGGGATTGCCCTGCCACAGAGGCAGGGGTGATGGGGGTGGGGGGGATATTACCCATGGTGGTGGAAAATGGGCACTGGTGGAGGGATGGGTATCTGATCATTGTATAATCAAACCCAAGCACAAAAATTGTAAATCTACAACTGTACCTCATGGTGTTTCACTAATAAAAAAAAAATTAAAAGAAAAAAGAGTAACTGCTGTGGAATACAATTGGAATACTTATGTGGTACATAAAGCACCAGAATAGTTTTGGTAATTTCAATAATCTGTTTTACAAATATTTTTAGTTAACACTGTAATTCAAGTGTGTATCTCTTTCTCTGTGTGTGTCTGTGTGGCAATAGTGAGTATATGGCACGGATGTAAGAAAATTGTAAGAAAAGGCTACACTGGTAAGATCCTGAGTTGCAAAACAACTAGCTCATGCCACCAAACAGATCTCGTGGTGAAAAAATATAAACTGTATTCCTTTAGTGAGCAGGTCCTCTGGCAGAATTGCGATGGAAGTGAGACAAAATCCCAGCCTCAAGGATGTCAGACCATAAAGCCAATCAATTATACCAGTGTGAAAATTGCCTCTTATTGGAAACAAGGGTGAATAGTTTATTTTACAGCCAAGACCGTTTCTCTCACTAGCATGAAGAAAGTAAATGAGTCATACAGGAGATCCAAAATGTGGTCCACTTAATTTTTTTCTCTTGACTTTACAATCCAAGTGATAAATAATTCTACGTATTTGTGATGTTCTGGAAATAGCACACTGAAAACTCATCTCTTAGAATTGTTTTTGGAAGTTTTATTTACTTTTCACTTCTAGAGTTTATAAATCCATACTCAAAATTTCAGAAATTATACAAAGAAGCAAGTGAAAAACTCACCTGCCATAACGTGGTATTGGAACCACGTGTAGGAGAAACCATTATTAACACAGAGTATCAGTAAAAAAAAAAAATAAAAAAGAAAAACTCACCTCCCATTCTTATCCTCCATCTGAAGGTGGTACTGAATAGAATCTGTTGACAATGTCTTTGGGGTTCCTTCTCCCCATTTCAACTTAAGGTTCTGGTGGTTAAAGGCAACACATTCTAATCGAGGTGGATCAGGAGGGAGTGGCTTAGTTTTTAATTTTATTGTGTGGCTAAAAGGACCAGCTCCAAGGCTATTCAAGGCTTGAATTCGTATTCTAAGAGCCATGGTAAAGAAAAAAAAAAACTGATTACTTAGAGCATCTATGGGTCTAGGCAAAAACTGACAAATTATTTTTGAGTGTACCTGTAAGTTGTATCTGGTTGCAAATTCTCAATAATGTAGCTTGTAACCTTTCCCACTACCAAGGGCTGCTTATCTCCGAAGTCTATGCTGTAGGCAGTGATCTCTGAACCATGGTCACAAGGCTTTTCCCAGCTTATTGCAAGGCATGTAGATGGTGAGTAAAAGGAGTTCTCTAGTTCCTCATCACTTATTTCTTGAAGACAAGTTACAATAGCAGGAACTGAGGGTGGGGTACAACAGGCTACTACTTCACTAAAAGGACCTGCACCCACCACACTTAAAGCCTGCAAATGAACAGAAGCCCTAAGTTAACAAAGATATGACCATGAAAATGCTCAAAAGCACCAGGGAGAGTGACAATGCATTCAGTGTCTTTACCTGGACTCTGCAATAATAGGTAGTTGCTGGTGAAAGTCCTTTTAATTCGTAACTGAGACCAGGCCCACAGTAACATATCTGCATGCTTCCTTCAACTCCTCCCCACTCCAATCGATACTCAGTAACATCAGTCCCATTGCTCAAAGGAACCTTTAAGAAAAAGGTAAACACCTTTAAGTCTTACACTGATTAAACTAAATTATAAAAACTTAATTGCTTTTACATTCATTTATGACATTTAAGCAGAATGAAAACTGTGACAGTATACTGCTGGTTATTAAGGTCATCTGATTTTAAGATTTGTCCAGAAATATAACTATTGAGTTACAAGTGCAAAACAATTGAGCCATTTTGTTTTCTGGGGGCCACATTTGGCTCAAGAAATAATTTTGAAGTAAATATACTAAAAATATATAAAATATCAAAAATTATTTTGAAGTATATTTTACTTCAAAATGATTTTATTGAGTAAAATAATAAAGACACTGTTAAATTTCAAAGGAAACAAAATTGTCATTACTGATTATCACTATATATAATAAATATACTGGAGATAATAAATATGACAGCAATTTATTGTATGAAACTAACTCATGTGAATAACTTGTTCTGAACATTCAAGCTTAACAGTGGCTAATTATCTCAGTACTGAAATAAAGCTTTTTATCTATTTCTTCGTTACACTCAGGGATCACTTCTGGCACTGTGATCCCCCAGGACCACATGTGTTGCCAGAGACTGAATTCAGATAGGGGCCTGGAGTGAGAGTACATCAGGCAGAGAGCTTGCCCTGCAAGTGATAAATGAGTCTATAATCCCCAGGACCACATATGGTCACGAGTCTGCCAGGAGTGATCCCTGAGCACAGAGCCAGGAGTAAGCCCTGAGCACTGCCGGTGTGGTCCCCAAAGAAAAACCCCCAAATTTGGGCCAGCCACATGCAAGTTAGCTGCCCTATCAGCTATACCATCTCTCCTGCCTCAGGATAAAGCTTGTGATGAAACACAAAGCACAACATCAACAACACTGTGAAGTATTGTAAAGTAAATATACCTTCCAAAAGAAAGGCAAAGAATTTATGCTTCTTGATGTGTATTTAGGACGGACTCTGTAATCTGAGGTAAAAATGAATACCCTTTTATTTTACCACACACACACACACACACACACACACACACACACACACACACACACACACACTCCGATCCCCCCGCCCCCCACACACACCTCTAATTCTTCAGAAAGTCAGTGCTAGGCATGGAAATTACAGTACCTCCCAATTCACTTGTGCACAAGTCGCGGATCTGCACGCCACCTGTGGGGGTTTGCACTGATCTGGTGGCCCTGGGGCTGTGGTAATATCACATTTTTCTGAAAATGGTCCGAACTAGAAGAAAAACAGCCAGTGCTCTCAGTTTTCAAATTTATTTTAAAGCTTCCAAGAAATAATTACAAATTATCCATCAAGCCTAATTAACCAGTGTATAATTCCAAGAACATTCTAAGAAAGATTTAATAATTACAGAAGTGAAGAAATGGGGGCCCTTCAGTTTCATTAACATTACTGTCTTCACTTTCTCTTTATTTCTTCATGAACTGGTTTTTGTAGGTTGTAACAAGGGTAAGTCATGATAAAATTAGGTGGAATAAACCAGAAGAAATTATGTAAAGAACAAAGAAATAGATACAAAGAAGGCATGACAGATAGTATGTTTATCTTAAAATTTACGTTAGCTTTAGAAGGATTTGGAATATATATTCTCTGTAAATATAAAAAAATAAACATTACGATGATTTGACAAATCATCACAAACCTGAAAATCTGTGATTTGTATTTTTTTGTGAAATAAGATAGGTTTTTTTGATTTGTAAAAGGTATATTTTTATTTTTTTAAATTTATTTTTTTTATTAGTGAATCACTGTGAGGTAGTTACAGGCTTACAAAAAAAAAAGATAATTTTTTGATTGAGACTTATTTAGAAAGATTTAAGGGAAGAGAAGGGGAGAAGTATGTGTTCAAGAGGGAACACGGGCTCCTCCAGAATGGAAATAACCAAGCAAAGGAGCAGAGACAAGCAAACAATGTATGTGTACAAGGGAGAACCCGGGACTGGAGAGCAAGCCTTCTGGGATATCTGTAATGTGCAATTAATTACAGAAACCAGTATTAAAAATGCTATCCTATATAAAACAGTATGAAAATAATACCCAAGACAACAGAAACAAGGGCCAGGAGGACGGTTCCATGAGAGGAAGCTTGCCACAAAGGGCAACTGGGGCAGTGCAGTTAGGACACAGAAGGGACCATGAAGTGGGAAGTGGTCTCTCTGAACAAGAACCGAGTGCTGAAAGGAGGTAGAGAGAAAGGAGGTAGATATGTACAGTGAAAGGAGGTAGAGTGATACCCCTTCAGTAACAGTATTGCAAGTCACAGTGCCTGAAGTAAAAAAAGGTAAGAAAGATGTCTACCACAGGGGTAGGTTGGCTGGGGCTGCGGGCAGGGTAGTGCTGGAGGGAAACTGAGGACACTGGTGGAGGAAAATGTACACTGGTGAAGGGATGGGTATTGGAACACTGTATGACTGAAACTCAAATCATGAACAATTTTGTACTTTGTAAGTGTATCTCATGCTAATTCAATTTAAGAAAGGAAAAGAAATGCCATCCTAAAAACCCAAACGTACAATTATAAATGAATGGATCAAGAAGCTATGCTATATATACACAATAAGATACTAGGCAGGGGGCCAGAAAGAGTACTGCAGGCAGGATACTTATCTTGCATGTGGCCGACCGGGGCTCAATCCCTGGCACCCCATGTGATTCCCCTGAGCCTTGCCAAGAGTGACTCCTGAGCAGAGCCAGGATTAAGAGTTGAGCACCACAGGGTGCCCCCCAAACAAACAAAAAAACACTTCAAAACAAAACAAAATAACAGCATAGAGAGCCTGGAATACTGCACAGCTGTTAAGAAAAAAAAAATGAAACCATGCTATTTGCTGCAACATGGATGAAAACGGAAGAAAAAGGTCGAAGACAGGATCATCTCATTTATCTGTAGAACAGAGCAACTCAAAATAAGAATATGGACAGTACTAAGGTAAAGGTAAAGGCCCTCCCGTTGATCGTCGATTTGCTCGAGCGGGCCCAGTAACGTCTCCATTGGAGACTTTGTTGTTACTGTGTCTGGCATATCGAATACTCTCGGTAGCTTGCCGGGCTCTCCGAGAGGGGCGGAGGAATCGAACTCAGGTCGGCCATGTTGGCCGCTTGTAAGGCGAACGCCCTACCCGCTGTGCTATCGCTCCAGCCCGATAGCATAGCGGTAGGGCGTTTGCCCTGCACGCAGCCAACATGGACAGTACTAAACAAAGACAAATCCCTGACACTGGTATATGAAATTAATGATCAGACAGAGGCGGGAGAGAAGAGAGGAGAGAGACTGGATGAGAAGAGACGCAGGCAAGGGGGAGGGCTATGGGACTTTCTATGTCTGTATATCAATACCATACATTTTTAGCACTATTATGACTTTTTAAAATAGAATAAATTAAAAAAATGCTATCACAATGCTTTTAGCCTTTGGGGACGGTAGTGACACACTATATATTTGATTATGTACATATACAACTTTATAATAGGTTTATATATAAATATTGACCTCAGTTGAATAACAGGATATAAAATGTAGTAAATGTTAAAACTTGAGGAGTTATTTGACTTGTGTGCAATTTAAATTTTTTTAAAATTTCAGCATTATAAAATTTTAATTATAAAATAGTTAAAAAATAGTATTGCTCATCAACGTATGAAATGATTGCTTTTTTCTTACAGAGAACCTATCTTAATGTTAGAGAGATGACCAGAGATAGAGTTGGGTAAAAAGAGGCCTTGGTTTTGAAGTCAAAACACTTGAGTTTGTGCTTTATCTCTATGTGACTGCTGACAAGGAATTCAGTTTCTCTGAAATACAGATTTCTCAGTCACAAAATGAAGATAACACTTGCTCTGCCCATTTTTGGAGGTGCACAAATGCATGAGAGAAAAGATCCACATAAAATCATAAGTATTGAAAATAAACCTCTTTTTCCCCTTTGAACACGTTGCCAAGCTGAAATACGGCATATGAATTGTAAGTCAAAAATATTAATTACTGCATATATTTTCACCACATGATCCCGAATCTAGTCTTCAGTTTACCAAGTAGCTTAAGTGACACAATTTAAGTAGGGCTTACAAAAAGAGATTCTGTGAGAACTAGGTTACCCTTCTCTAATTTATAAATGCAGACTTATTAACAAGTATATAACTTGGAGTCAAATTTCAAGAAGAGCAAAATAATAGGACAATTATGTAAGTTAAAATGAAACACCATGGTAACTATAATTCAGTCAGCACAGTCTTCCTACCCCCATTTTGTTGGCTGCACGCAGTCTGAAGCTGTATGTCTTGCCAGGAAGGAGGTTGCTCACTGTACATTCTACTTCTGAACCTTGGTAAACTTCTCTGGGTTCATCTTTTTCTACAGGACACATTTCAACACTATAGCAGGAAATGGGCGATCCACCGTCAACCTGAGGAGGTCCTGAAGGTTGAAAATTTAATGCGAATTTAATAGGAAGGAAACACTGAGTACTGCACAATTAGAATTTATTGCCCAAATGGAAATTACCCCATCGCAGCTGTATTTCTCTTGCTTTGGGTCTCCCCTGCACTCTGGGAGGCAGGCACGGGCCAGGGGGCACGGCGGGCGTCTGCACCAGCAGAGACTCAGACACCTGCGGGGAAAAATGGCCCAGGCTGAATAATCAGATTGCCTTCAGAAAGGGAAAATACACAGTTCCGACTTGATTATCAGCTGAGTAATTAATTTCTAAACCAAGAGAATCAAATACAATTTAAATTTATCAGATTAAAAAAGACATGTATTATATGACTGCTATATACAAACAAGTTACTGAAGAAACTCCTCAAAACACTTCTTTCCATAATGAAAAAATAAATTTCTAATATAATCTAATTGGCAATGTTTTGATCTTATTTAAATGAAGGTGCAACAGTTTGCAAATACTGGTCACCTTACTTTCAAGACTGCTTACGTATGTTGGGTATATTATTTGTACACTGATTTTTTTTTTTTTGCATGGGAGTTGGGGTGGGGAAGGAGAAAAGGGGATTGGGCTATAGCCACAGTGCTCAGGGTCTATTGCTATTCCTTTTTTTTCAAATACTATTTTTGCTTTAAACATGAAATTCTTGGCTGTGCTCAGTCTTTTGTGCTCAGGCTGTGCAAATGTGGTACCAGGAATTGGAACCAGGGTTGAATTACAGGAGGAAGAACAGTGAATTGTCTCCTGTAGTATCTCTTTGGACCCCTAATTCTAACCTAAAATTAAAAACAAAAAGAGCGTCCCTTATTTCTTTTCATCTAAAAATAATCTGGAAACCGTATAAACTTTTCCAGATATTTGGACACTACTTTTAGTCTCTATGTTGTTTAAAAAGAAGAAAAGAAAAGCACCTTTCAGTTCTATTTTAAAAGACATATCCTTAAAAATAAACTTTGCCAAGGTCTTTTATCTGTACTGTACTAAGGTTTACATTTAACAATCTTTCCAATAAGGAATACAGTTATTTGGTAACTAATCTAAAATAGTTTACAGTTTAAGAATGCTGTAAAGTAAGTATTAGAAGTTATAAAGCCATACTGGAAAATGATTATTTTTCTGGGGCTTGTGTAGGGGTCGTGTTGCATTATAAAAAAAGATCCAGGCAATTTATCTTACAAAATGAAACCATTGGATGACAATCCTGTAGGGCAGGACTTTTACTTTCAACAAAATATTAGTAATTTATTTCATTAAAATATTTTTTTTTTGATTACACGCAGTGGCGGTGGTGCTCAGGGATTACTCCTGAGTGCACTCAGGGATTGGGGGACTATACAGCATGCTGGGGTGTTGAACTGGGTTGGTTTCATGCAAGGTAGGCACCCAAGCTGTTGTATCTATCCAGCTCCTAGTAATCAATTTAAAAAAAGTTTTTGCATTAAACTTCATTTGAGAAATAAAATTACAAAAATTTCAAGAAACAATTCTTCATTAAATTCACTGAAAACATTTGTGGGCTATAAACTACATATATATATGCATATATATTATACATATGCACATATATGTGTATACACACACATATATCATGAGACTAATATCCAAGATGAGAATAAGCAGGGGCCAGGTCAATGGTTGGAAGCTTGCCACAAGAGTGTGTGTGGGGTGTAGGGCACAGGTAAAGGGATATACCTGATAACATTTCATTATCTGTATTCCAAACCATAAGGTCCAAAAGGGGGGGGAAGAGAGAGAGAGAGAGAGAGAGAGAGAGAGAGAGAGAGAGAGAGAGACAGACAGACAGACAGACAGACAGAGAGAATAAAAGTGCCTGCCATAGTGGAAGGCGGTGGGATGGGGGGTGGTGGGAGGGAAACTGGGACCACTGATGACGGGAAATGTAGTACACTGATGAAGGGATGGATACTGGAATGTTACAGGACTGAAATCCAATCACGAACAACTTTGTAAATATGTATATTACTGTGGTTTAATAAAAAAAAGGGAAAAAAATTTCACTGAAAACAAATCAAGGGCCAGAAAAATAGCTCAATGAGCTGAGCATCTGCCTTGCATGTGGGAAGCCAGGATTTGATTCCCAGATCTCTTAGCACAATCAGGAGTAGCTCAAGAGCACAGGGCTTGAAGCTGGCCGAATACCACCAGGGCAGCTCCTAAACCAAAGCCAACACCCCCCCCCCCCCAAAAGCAACCCTATTAAAAATATATCTCTCTATAACATCACTAATAAAGGACACAGTGCAAGTCCATTTTGATCATTGACTCTCTTAAAAAAATATATGCCAATTTTTCTGAAACAAGTATTAGAATCTGTTTAAAGAAGACGTGAGGGGCAAGAGCAATAGCATAGCGGGTAGGGCGTTTGCCTTGCATGCGGCCAACCCAGGTTCGATTCCCAGCATTCCATATGGTCCCCCGAGCACCACCAGGAGTAACTCCTGAGTGCAGAGCCAGGAGTAACCCCTGAGCATCGCCAGGTGTGACCCAAAAAGCAAAAAAAAAAAAAAGGAGGACCTGAAAATCCGTCTACAATCACTTCTACTTCTGTTAGGTATGGTTATTGAAGCACTATTCTAAAATTTGTTTCTATAAAATTTTCTGCCGTTTTCTCATTCAGATGATAAATATTTAGTACAAACAATAAGCCGATTAGATCAGAATAGCCTGGACACCATAAAACTAACCACTAGGGTGAAAGAAAAAGCTTTAATATATTTGTGGGCATTTGATCAAACATAAAAAAAAAATCTGCATATAACTATTTACCGCACTCTGTCCTCCATCACTGATGCAGTAAACTCGAAAACGATAGAAACAGCCTGGATTCAGTCTATCACAAAGATGCTCCCTAGTAGCTCCACTGTATATCATATCCCATTTATTTCCTGCAAGGCGAAGAATTACGTTTAATCAGCTACAAGGTAATGTTTAACAATCTGGTATCATGGACACGGCAGGTATCCTAGTTTCACTAATTAAGCGTTACATAATTCGTTAGAAACAGTTTAATAAGCTCACTGTAGTTTCCTGGAAATGATCTAATTCTCTGTGTGCAGCTTCCTAGACAAATTTGCATAGCCTTATTAATGTGAAATATCTCTGTAACTCTGTACAAAATCTGTCTTTGACTTATAACTTGCTTTTAATTAAACATTTAAAATGTGTTTACTGACTCAGTAATAATACTACAACACACAGAGAATGACCCAATAATAGGAAGTTTAGTCTGAACTAAAAAACATTTTTAGCAGGAAATAGGCCATTTTATAGAAATAAAAGTTGCTATTAAATATGACTTAAGAGTAAAGCACACTAAGCTTGGAATTTATTATTAAAAATAATATGATGCAATCTAAATTTTAGAACACTATTTTATGACACATCTGGGTATAAATCTAACTGAATAAGCTAACCTTCAGAGGACTTTACTTAGTCTAGGTATACTGGAAATAAGCAATATAAACAAATAATGGAATATAAGTATAATTATAGATATACAGCAGTCTTATATTTGATTCACTGTAATTATGGAGATGATAAATAAAAGTGTGTCAAAAGCTTAACTGCTACAAAGGAAAAAAGGTATAAAATATAAAGTCATGACCAGAGGTATGACTCTGGTTATGCTTACCGTTAGGACCTTCTGCCATCTCTACCACGTATTTATTGATGGCTGCCCCTCCATTGTCTTTTGGTGGGTCTATTCAGAGAAGGAGAATAGTTTTAGGCAAAGTACATATAATTTACGAATATCAGGAAACAGAATGCCAAACCAGACTTGAAAAGAAAACAAAATCAAAAACAAGCCCACCTGCAGCGCTTTTTAAAGTAACGGAATTTCATTACAATACCATTTCTCCATTAACTGTATATGAGCTCAATTACTATTTGTTTTAATGGGATGCCAGAGATGCAGCTTAGTAGAAAAGCATGGTTTTGCACACAGAATATCCTGATCTCAGACAATAAAAATGAGCTATCTTCATTTTGCAGGAGAGCCAGGAAAACTCTATTTCCTTTAAAAGCTCAGTGATCTTCCACTATACACAGTGCTAAGCTCCTTTACTACTTCTACAGAAAATCCAAAGATCATTCTATATGAAATCTGAATTGTCAAGTGAATATGGTATGTTTGAGTGCAAAGTGGTAAGTGTGATACAAAGTTGTTCACATGAGTTAAGTCTCTCAATGACTCACTTCTTACTGAACTTAATGAGCTAATAAATTTACTCAAACAAATATGCACATCTTACTTACCCCAAGTTATTTTAAAACTGTGTGAATGTATCTTTCCTTTAACTGAAGGTTTTAAAGGTACCCCTGGTTTATCAGGGCATGTAGTAAACTCTACTACTTCACTTGGATTACTTTTACCTTCAGAGTTGTAAGCAATAACCTGTGATGAGAATACAAAGACATGAATGTTTGATACCTAATTATATTGGCTTAATGAACTCACATAATTAAGTTTTAGATTGCAATAGCTTATGAAAGAACTGCCTGTCTTCAATGGGGACTTGATACACATAATAAGTTTTCTTAGATCTGGGAATACAAGTATAGTATTTTAATATTAAACAGTTATCACAGGAACAAACTATAATCTGCTGATAATTTGGTAGGCTTGCAGCTTATTTTGCCTTTTGTAAAAAAAAATCCTGATTTTTAATGTCCATGATTTGTAATAAAGAGGGCCAGTTCATCTATATTGTACTCAAGTTTGTAAACTCTCAATTGGCTTGTGAAGTCATTAGGGATATTTCTTCAAGACTAATTTGGCTTCTAAAGGTTTCATTTCAAATCTTCAATTGTCATCTGATCAAATAAAATTATATTTTTTATCTTCTCCAGTTCTTTTGGTACTTTTCTTTTTTTTCTTTCTTTTTTTTTATTATTAGTGAAACACCATGAGGTACAGTTGTAGATTTACAAATTTTTGTGCTTGGATTTCGGTCATACCATGATTAAATACCCATCCCTCCACCAGTGCCCATTTTCCACCACCAGGATAATATCCCTCCCTCCCCATCCCCCCCTGTCACTGTGGCAGGGCATTCCCTTTTGTTCTCTCTCCTTTTGGGTATTGTGATCAGCAAAAGAGGCATTGAGTGGCAAACATGTTCAGTCCAGTCTACTTTCAACCTGCATCTCCCCTCCTGGGAGGATCCTCCAAACACCCTCCATTTGGTGTTCCCTTTTCTATCTGAACTGTCCTTTCCCCTAGAATACCCGGCTGGCCTCTAGGCTATGGAGTAATCCTCCTGGTGTTGATCTCAGTTATTCTTGGGTATTAATCTCATATTTTGTTATTTTATATCCCCCAGATGAATGCAATCTTTCTATGTCTATCCCTCTCTTTCTGACTCATTTCGCTTAGCGTGATACTTTCCATATTGTTCTTTTGGTACTTTTCAATCTTGGCCTTGGAGAGTGCCAACTTTTCACAGCTTGTTTTTCATTATCCATCTGGCATAGGAACCTTCAGATCATCAAACTTTTCAAAACCACCAATCAAGCCAGACTTTGTCACATTGGCCATGTAAACTCAGATAATGGTGGTTAGTTTCTCAAGAAGTTTGTTTTACTTTAAAAATATTCGTTTCAGTGACCAGAATACAAAGACAGTCTACAGAACGGGAAAGGATATTCATCTAATACCCATCTGATAAGGGGTTAATATCAAGGATATACAAGGCACTGGCTGAACTCTACAAGAAAACATCCAATCCCATCAGAAAATGGGGCGATGAAATGAACAGAAACTTTCTCAAAGAAGAAATCCGAATGGCCAAAAGGCATATGAAAAAATGCTCTTCATCACTAACCAGGAAGATGCATATCAAAACAACAATGAGATATCATCTCACACCACAGAGACTGGCCCACATCCAAAAGAACAAAAACAATCAGTGTTAAAGTGGATCTGGGGAGAAAGCGACTCTCCTTCACTGCTGGTGGGAATGCCAACTGGTTCAGTCCTTTTGGAAAACAATATGGACGTTTCTCAAAAAATTAGAAATTGAGCTCCCATTTGACCCAGCAATGCCACTTCTGGGAATATATCCCAGAGATGCAAAAAAGTACGGTAGAAATTATATCTGCACTTGTATGTTCATTGCAGCACTGTTTACAATAGCCAGAATCTGGAAAAAATCCGAATGCCCTAGAACAGATGACTGATTAAAGAAACTTTGGTATATCTACACAATGGGATACTATGCAGCTGTCAGAAAAGATGAAGTCATAAAATTTGCATATAAGTGGACTGACATGGAGACCATCGTGTTAAATGAAATGAGTCAGAAAGAGAGGGACAGACATAGAAGGAATCCACTCATTTGTGGAATATAAAGTAACATAATGGGAGACTAATACCCAAGGATAGTAGAGATAAGGACCGGGAGAATTGATCCACGGCTTGGAAGCCAGCCTCATATGCTGGGGGAAAAGGCAGCTAAGATAGAGAAGGGACCACCAGGTAAAGGCTGCTTGCTTGGGGGGCTCGCTTGGATGAAAGATGTGTGCTGAAAGTAGACTATAGACCAAACATGATGGCCACTTAATATCTGTATTGTACACCATAACACCCAAAAGGAGAGAATAAAAGGGAATGTGCCTGCCACAGAGGTGCGGCGGGGGGGCAGGGGGATAGGGGGACGGGGAAGGGGTGGCAGGAGGATACTGGGAATACTGGTGGTGGAGAATGGAAACTGGTGGAGCGATGGGAATTCGATCATTGTATGACTGAAACATAAGCACAAAAGTTTGTAAGTCCAGCAAGCATCATCCTCAATGGGGAAAAACTGAGAGCCTTCCCTCTAAGATCAGGGACGAGACAGGGATGCCCACTCTCTCCACTGCTGTTCAATATAGTACTGGAAGTACTTGCAATAGCGATTAGGCAGGAAAAAGATATTAAGGGCATTCAGGTAGGAAAGGAAGAAATCAAGCTCTCACTATTCGCAGATGATATGATACTCTACTTAGAGAACCCAATAACTTCCACCAAAAAACTCCTAGAAACAATAGACTCGTATAGTAAAGTTGCAGGTTATAAAATCAATACCCAAAAGTCCATGGCTTTCCTATACGCAAACAGTGAGAGAGAAGAAAGCAACATGAAAAAAACAATCCCATTCACAATTGTGCCCCAGAAAATCAAGTACCTAGGAATCAGCTTAACTAAGGAAGTAAAGGACCTGTACAAAGAAAACTACAAAACGCTACTTCAGGAAATAAAAGAGGACATGAGGAAATGGAAAGATATCCCCTGCTCATGGGTCGGGAGACTTAACATTGTCAAAATGGCAATACTACCGAAAGCATTGTATAAATTCAATGCAATCCCTATAAGGATACCCATGACATTCTTCAAAGAAATGGAGCAAACACTCTTGAAATTTATATGGAACAATAAGCCCCCACGAATAGCTAAAGCAATTCTTGGGAAAAAGAAAATGGGAGGAATCAACCTCCTGAACTTCAAACTGTACTACAAAGCAGTAATAATTAAAACAGCATGGTACTGGAACAAAGGCAGAACTGCAGACCAATGGAACAGGGTTGAATACACTGACATCTCTCCTCAATCATATGCTCATCTAATCTTTGATAAAGGTGCAAGTAATGTGAAGTGGAGTAAGGAAAGCCTCTTTAATAAATTGTGTTGGCATCACTGGACGGCTACATGCAAAAAAATAGGCTCAGAACTCTGCCTAACACCATGTACAAAAGTAAGATCAAAATGGATTAAAGACCTCAACATCAGACCAGAAACCATAAGGTACATTGAAGATAAAGTTGGCAAAACCCTGCATGACATTGAAGCTAATGGTATCTTCAAAGATGCCACGCCACTGGCCGAGCAAGTGAAAACAGAGATAGATAAATGGGACTATCTTAAACTAAGAAGCTTCTGCACCTCCAAAGAAACAGTGACCAAAATACAAATACAGTCTACAGAATGGGAAAGGATATTCACCGAATACACATCTGACAAGGGGTTGATATCCAGGATATACAAAATACTGGTTAAACTCCACAAGAAGAAAACATCCAACCCCATCCAAAAATGGGGCAATGAAATGAACAGAAACTTTCTCAAAGAAGAAATCCGAATGGCAAAAAAGCACATGAGAAAATGCTCTACATCATTAATCATCAGTGAGATGCAGATCAAAACCACAATGAGATACCATCTCACACCTCAGAGACTGGCCCACATTCAAAAGAACAAAAGCAACCGATGCTGGCGTGGATGTGGCGAGAAAGGGACACTCCTTCACTGTTGGTGGGAATGTCCACTGGTTCAGCCCTTCTGGAAAACAGTATGGACGATTCTCAAAAAATTAGAAATTGAGATCCCATTTGACCCAGCAATACCACTCCTGGGAATATATCCCAGAGAGGCAAAAATGTATAGTCGAAGTGACATCTGCACTTGTTTGTTCATTGCAGCACTCTTTACAATAGCCAGAAACTGGAAGAAACCTGAATGCCCAAGAACAGATGACTGGTTAAAGAAACTTTGGTACATCTACACAATGGAGTACTATGTAGCTCTTAGAAAAGATGAAGTCATGAACTTTACATACAAGTGGTACAATATGGAAAGTATCATGCTAAGCGAAATGAGTCAGAAAGAGAGGGATAGACATAGAAAGACTGCATTCATCTGGGGGATATAAAGTAACAAAGTATGAGATTAATACCCAAGAATAGCTGAGATCAGCACCAGGAGGATTACTCCATTACTTAGAGGCTAGCCGGGTATCCTAGAGGAAAGGGCAGTTCAGATAGAGAAGGGAGCACCAAATAAAGGATGCTTGGAGGATCCTCCCAGGAGGGGAGATGCATGTCGAAAGTAGACTATGGACTGAACATGTTTGCCACTCAATGCCTCTTTTGCAGACCACAACACCCAAAAGGAGAGAGAGAACACAGGGGATTGCCCTGCCACAGAGACAGGGGGGATGGGGGGATGGGGGTGGGAGGGATATTATCCATGGTGGTGGAAAATGGGCACTGGTGGAGGGATGGGTATCTGATCATTGTATAATTGAAACCAAAGCACAAAAAATTGTAAATCTACAACTTTAAAAAAAATAAAATAAAATAAAGGGAAAAAAAAAAGAAAAAAAAGTTTGTAAGTCTGTAACTGTACTTCATGGTGAGTCATTAAAAAATTTAAAAAAATTTGTTCTTTTTTTAAAGAAGACATACACACATTCTTTGATTTTTTTTCAGAAAATAAAGATTAATGACCTCTCTTTCCATTGAATTATATTTGCTGACTTACTTCTAACAGGATATGGCAGATATGATTGTGTGTGTTAATTTCCTATTGAGAAACCACGTGGTGAGGAACTAATGGCTATGAGCAAAAGTGAGTGAGGAATGGAAAGTTAGGTTTCAGAGACTCTCTAGGTATCATACAGAACTACAAGATGAGAGAATAGCCTGAAAGCAGATATATACTGAATATATTTGGACACTTATTATTCAGGACAAATCAGAGATGACAAAAAAAAATCCAAGGTAACAAGGAAAAAATAGCAAAGACTCAACTGTTAAGTTTGAGAAGAGGATATACCAAAAACTAAGGGCTAATTTGGGGATACTTAAGAGTAGGGGGGAAAAAACCACTTTCACAGATGCTGACCTATCAAGAATGAAAGAGAAACTAAAGGATTCTGATTGTTCTGATTTGTTTTTAACCTATGAAAAAGTGAAAAGTACCTATGCGTTCAATTATTTTCAAGAATCCAGGAAACAACACACCCATTTTTTCCCCCGGAAGTGTAGGCTCATAAGGATAGGTCAACAGTCCCCGAAATTAAATCTTTCTTTAAAAAATTTGTATACCACAAGGACTTAATGCAGAACCCAGCAGCTTGGAGCAGAAAAGTGAACGGACTCTGCATTGATCCAGGCCATCAAGTCTGCCGGAGGGGAAAGGGTGTTGCCCCATTCGCCCTCTCCTCTTTGGAAAGAAAGATGGCGGCCACATGGGAGCCTTGTGGACAGCAGGTATGAGCCGGGAGTGTGGGGGCGACTAAAACCTCATGGGAAGGGGGGCGTTTCGGTTCGCCCTTCACGCCCTACCGAGGCCACCGGTTGCCCCCCGCGAGCGGCTCTCCAGCACGGCCAGGACTCCAGAACACAGAAACCAATTTCTTAACTATCTGACTTTCAGTAGAAATACTTCCAGGGTCAATAGGTAAAAGAGCAGAAATCCAAAACCAACATTTAATTCTTGAACCCAGCCGTAGAAAGCAAATCACTTCACAATGCTTTTTCAGCATGTCTGATTTGGGGGGGGGTAAACTCTAAATAATAGTGGTGAATCTTTTATTGAAACAATGAATCTAATCAAAGCAGATAGAGTGTTAACTAGAATTCATCTGCTTCACAGGGACGGGGAGGGGTGGGGGGTGGGGTTTTATTGGGGTTCTTCATGGTAAAAAATAAGTATTGGTAAAGGGAAATGTGTTTGATATTTGCATGACTGAGACATAAACCTGAAAGCTTTGTAACCTTTCCCACAGTGATTCAATAAATAAATTAAAAAAAAAAAAAATTTGTATACCAGGTCCTAACCTGGCTTTAAGGCAACCATTTGATTAAACTGGCATTTTATTTTTGGTGCTTGTTTATCTCTCTGTATTTTAAATAATTTTTATTTTCATTTTTCTCTCTGTTCTTGAATTTTACACTGTTCTAATTTTAGTATTTTGAAAATCTAGAATTCTTGGTATTGGGTAAACAATCTACTAGAATTCACTTTTAGTTACATTCCCAATCGTTTCTTCACAAGTAATATTATACTATCTAGTCCCTACTTTCTGAATGAAAGTTTTTTACTGCCTTCTTTTATGAGTGTTACAAGATTTTTTTAAAAAAGATTTTTATTTTGACCTATTTGCTTGAAAGAGAAGCCTACACTGTCAAGCTATAAAAGCAACACTGAGACAGAAACAGGATTCAGTGATTTAACCTGCCCTCTGCTGGCACCCAGCATCTGGCAGATTAACAGTAGAAGTCTGAGCAACTAGAAACGTTTGTTAAGACATTATTTTATATTTCCTAGTAGTTTTAATTTTCCTCAAAACCAGAGGTTTTTAAATTTAAGCACGTATCATCAGCTGGAAGTTCTGCTACAGAGACAAAGTATATCGTGCTTATGCCTCACCCTCAGAATATCTGATTCAGTTCTAGGGTCTGGGGTCTAGGGGCAGATGGGTTGGCAGATAATTTACATATAAAAACCCCTACCAGCTGATGCTGGTAGAATGAGTTGGTGACCACATTTTGAGAATCACTGCTCAAGATCTTATTGCTATCTTGTTTGCTATTAGTAAACTAGAGGTAGGGGCACGTTGTTTTAGCCTCAGTTACCTGGGGAGTCATTTTATGAGCAGCCTATTTTCTTCTTGAGTATTCTTACAATATTGCATGCATTCTGAGAGCCACTGCCACAGGAAAAAAATAATTATTTCTGTTTTGTTTTTGGATCACACTCAGTGATGCTCAGGGAATCATGTGATTGAACTGAACTTAACTTTTGCACAAGCAAAGCACGGGCACCAATGGGTAACAATTTATTCAGTTATTTCCTGGTCTATGAATCACAAAGGAGTGAGGCATATACTTGGTTTTAACAGAACAAAACAAAGAGAGTACTTTGAATGGCTTTCAAAGCTTACCTTAAATTTATATTTTGTACTACGTCTGAGATTTTTCACTGTGTAAGCAAGATCTTCGCCATCATACTTAGGCTTAAAACCATATCCCTGGAAAAAGAAAACAAACCATTAAATTTTTGACCACACAGAACAGTGCTCTGGGCTTACTCCTAGCGCTATGCTCAAAGGTCACTCTTGGTGGGGCTCAGGGAAAGATATGGGGTGCCAGGAATCAAACTGGGGTCAACTGCATGAAATACAAGGGCGCTACCCTCGATACTACCTCTCTGAACTCATTCACTAGATTTCTGACAAGAGAAATATGGAAAGACTATAGTCCTCTCTGCTGAGTAAATATGCAAAGTGCTGTTGTGGATAACACTTGTTTTGATGGCCCCTGGGTGAAATACAACAATCCCCACACTTTTCTCTAAGAAGACTTTTTTCTAGCTTTCTTAGCAGATTTTTTTAACAATACAGAGTATATTATTCTGGTTCTGCTTTGGGGTAGGGACTAGGATTTGGGATGGAAACATTCGAAATATGGTGGTGGGAAGGTGTAATGGTGGTGGGACTGGTGTTTGAATATTAAATGTAATCAAATATTGTGAACTACTTTATAAAATAAAAAAATTGAAAAGAAAACATGGTACATATATACAATGGAATACTATGCAGAAATAAGAAAATAAGAATTCAGGGGCTGGAGCAATAATGTAGTGGGTAGGATGTTTACTTCGCATGCAGCCAGCCTGAGTTTGACCCCCAGCATCCCATATGGTCCTCCCAGTAATGCTGGGAGTGATCCCTGAGCACAGAGCCAGGAGTAAATTCTGAGCATCATTAGGTGTAGCCCCCAAACAAAACAACAATTAAAAAAAAAGAAAGAAAAGACAAAATCATGAAATTTGCCACTACATGGATAAATCTGGAGCCTATCATGCTGAGTGAAGTTAGTCAGAAGACGGACAGATAAAAAATGATATGTGAAATATAAAGAAACAAAGAAAAAGAGTAACAAATGCCCAGAGGTAACTGAACCAGAGATCTAGTCTACAAAATGGAGCCTACCATTTTATGTGATGGTGTGAAAGTGGGGTCAGGGGGGACAGGCTTAGGGCTGGGAAATGGGCTTAGGTGTGGGACACTGAGGCAATGGTGGATGAGGTGGACATTCTGGAGGAGGGATGGTATTGGAGGACTGTATGCAAGAAACCCTGTCATTAACACTATTGTAAATCATGGTAACTAAAATAAAATGAAAAACAAAAACAAAAACAAAAACAAAGTGAAGGGCTGGAAAGGTAGTACAGACATTAAGATGCTTGTTTTGCATGTGGCTGGCCCCAATACAATCCCTAGCACTGCCTGGTCCTCCAAGTACCACTGAGAAAGACCCCGTTATATGGAGCGCTGGAAACAGCAGTGCCAGGTGTGGCTCAAACTCCCACTTCTCTAAGCCTCCCCCAAAAGTGAAAAAAATTGAGATATAAATAACATACCATAAGACTTAATTTAAGATATTGCCAAGGGTCTGCCCTGGGACTCTCGCATGCAAAACCTGTACTCCGACTCTTTAAGCTGATACCTTACACCATTCAATACTGAATCCACATTAATTTATAAGTTTTTTTCCTGTACACTTCCCCCGTCTTTGGTTTCATTCACTAATATACTATCTCTCTGATTCTCCCTTTATTCAGTTAAATAGAATCATTTTACATGGCGTTTCATAGTTACGTTCTTGACAGATGACTTCAAGGCTAATGTTATGGCGTCATGTATCCCATTCCTCTATAGGGCATATCCCATAATAGATAACAGTTTCTTTCTTTCTTTCTTTCTTTCTTTCTTTCTTTCTTTCTTTCTTTCTTTCTTTCTTTCTTCTTTTTTAAAGTTTTGGAGCCATACCTCCCAGTATTCTGGCTACTCACTGCTCTGTCAGGGAGTCTCTCCCAGCAGTGCTCAGGGTTCAATGTAGATTAAATTCAGGCTCCGACATGCAAGCATGTGTTCAAGCTGTCTAGTACACCACATTTTCTTTATCAATTTAATAGTTGATGAACATCTGGCTTTCCATTTCTTTTATAATTCACAGTCACAGTCCTCCCGTTGTTCATCGATTTTGCTCGAGCGGGCCCAGTAACGTCTCCATTGTGAGACTTTGTTGTGACTGTGTTTGGCATATCGAATACATCACGGGGAGCTTGCCAGGCTCTGCCATGTGGGTGAGATACTCTCGGCAGCTTGCCAGGCTCTCTGAGAGGGGCGGAGGAATCGAACTCGAGTCGGCCATGTTGGCTGTGTGCAAGGCAAACGCCCTACTGTTGTGCTATCACTCCAGCCCTCTTTTATAATTATGCTGCTATAAACATTTTTTGATAATAATGCTGCTATAAACATTTATGTACATTTTGTATGAATATACATTTTTACATGCCTGCTTTCTCCAGTCTCTGGTGACTCAGGGATCACACCCATAAGCCGCATCCTGCCGGCACCAGATACTCTCATCAGCCACCCTCCAGAACTCACGGATGCTCCTCCCAGATGGGAGTATAAAAGGACGCTCCCAGAATCATGCCACCGGACTCTGAGCCAGGCTGTGGGGTGGGTGAGAGCCCTCCCCACCCCAAGGGACCCAACCCTGGCAGCGGACCTCCACTGCCCAACCACTGCCACATTCCAGGCCACTTTCTGGACTGCACAGCCGCAATGCGGCCTCATGACACATTATTAGACACTTTCTACTCATTTATGCCTTTCAGGAAGCCCAGAAAGCTACAGAGAGTATCCCGCCTGCACAGGCAGAACTTGACAAGCTCCCTGTGGTGTATTCGATATGCCAAATACAGTAACGACAGTAAGTCTCATTCTCCTGACCCTGAAAGAGCCTCCAACCATTGGGAAAAGATGAGTAAGAAGAGGCTGCTAAAATCTCTGGGCTGGGAGGAACAGAAATGTTACTGGTGCCCGCTTGAGTAAATTGATGACCACCAGGATGACAGTGATACAATGATACATTTTAATTCTCATACTGCTTTTGGACAACCTGGTTTCAATCCCCAGCATTCCAAACGGTCACCCAAGCCCACATGGAGTGACCGCCGAGAACTTAACACAACCACAAGTAAACCTCGAGAATCACTAGGTATGGCCAAATGTGTGTGTGTGTGTGTGTGTCTGTCTGTCTGTCTGTGTAAAAGTTAACAATCCATTAGCTCCATTATATTTTCAAGCTGGAGCGATAGCATAGCGGGTAGGGTTGCATGAGGCTGACCCGGGTTTGATTCCTCCAGCCCTCTCAGAAAGCCCAGCAAGCTACTGAGAGTATCCTGCCCACATGGCAGAACCTGGCAAGCTCCCCATGGCATATTCAATATGCCAAAAACAGTAACAAGTCTCACAATGGAGACGTTACTGGTGCCTGCTTGAGCAAATCGACGAACAATGGGAGGACAGTGCTACAGTGCAGTGCTACTGCTTTTGCATGTTTCTCAAGTTATACAATTAATTATAGTCTACTAAAAGTTACCCTATTTTTCAGCTACATTAAAAAAAACTATTGGGGGTCGGAATGATAGTATAGCAGGGAGGGCGTTTGTCTTGAACACGGCCAACCCGGGTTCAATCCCCGGCATCCGATATGATCCGCCAGCAACGCCATGAGTAATTAATTCCTGAATGCAGAGCTGGAGTAACCCCTGAGCATTGCTGGGTGTGACCCAAAAAAAAGGTAAAGAAAAAAATCTATTACTGAGGCACTACCATTTACAAAGACGTTCATAATAGTGTTGCAGGCAAAAAATGTTCCACACCAATGCTAACTTCCCTTCCTCAATATTCCTAGATTCCCTCGCACCCCTCTGCCTACCCCCTATTTAACATGCTCACAAATTCTCTATATAAAAATTTTTAAATAGGGGCTACTCCTATTAAAGAGGTACCTGAGGGTACTAGAGTCCTTTCTGATGCCAGGGGCCACAAGGGTCATACCCAACAGTGCTTCAGGAAGCACTAGGTGCTAGAAATCAAACTCATCCAACATGCAAAGCGTGTCCTCTTACAATTTATGCTATGTTCCTGACCTCAAAAATACTTGTTATTTTTTAAGGATCTTTCCTGGACCTCAAGGGACTTAGGGGCCACTTTCAGCAATACTAAATGAGCAGGTCAGACTACAGTACTACTTGGGCCCTGCTGTGCCAGAGACCACCAAGGTGACCCCACTGGTGCTCACTGGACTCTAGGGCTACACCAAGTTCAGGCTGTAAAGTGCTAAGGAACTGAACCCAGGTTGCTCTTACATGTGCCCTAATCCCTGTGCGGTCTCTCTCCACTCCTTCTGTTTTTAGATATTAATCCTATTATTGCACACTGTATATTGTAGTCTACTGACTTACAGTACAGCATACACAACATCCTGTGTGTACTAGGTGATAAAAATGACCATTTGATTACCTTAACTGCGATAATCTCTTACTGTAGTAGTCTAAAAGTGAACTTGTAATAATTTAAGGTGTACCTGAGCCATCTCTGGATCAATAACAAACCAAAATGTTTTAAATACTCCATTTTAGACAGAAAGTCATACTTACTGAAGTTTCTTCCTCCATCTCTAAAATGTAAGAAATTCCTTCATCTGATGGTGTTCCTGAGGGTTTACTCCACTGTAAGGATAACCAAGTAACCCCGGCCTTAGTTAAGACAGGACTTGCAGGCATTGAAGGGGCACAGCCTGAGGTATAATATAAGATTTCTTCACTAAATCCACTGTTGAAACAAATGGTTTTGAACAAAGAATTGAAGTCATTTTTATATAGCTAAACATTTCCTTTAAATTAAATATAAAGTATAATATTTGATTTGACTTTTTAAAAATTTTATTTTTATGAACTTGTTCACAATAATTTATTACATTTAATACATTTAATATACAATACCAATCCCACCATCATTACACCTTCCCACCACCATAGTAATCAGGTCAGATACCCACAAGTTAATTAGTATTCTTTTAGTATTGCAGTTTATTTTTAGATTCTAAAATCTTTATCTTAATCAATGAAAAAAAGATGTGTGTGTATATATATGTATACACATACATTAGCTTACAGAAAAAGGTATGAGAACAAACTTTTCTATGGATATAAATTTATACCTCTATGCAATGTCATTTATAGGTAATAATACCCACAACTTCTAATTACGTAATTACCCGTCTCCATAAGGATAGCAGAGATACCTCACAAACTTCAATGTGACTCTTTCAGGCACTTGGCCTTTCTATTTAACCTGGATATCTGAAATATTTTCAGAATTCACCAGTTTAAACTGATGAAATCGTACTGAGAACAGAAGAATCTCTTAGATGCATAAAGATTTCATTTACATTATTAAAAAATTTTTAGTTGCTAGTTTTAATCTTTCCCATGGCCTCAATATAACTGAAATTTTTAAAAAAGCTTTGCAAATCTATACATTTTAATCATATCACTGAAGTAATAAACAAAAGCAGATTTTTTAGTGGAATATTTGGACTTGAATTTATACAATTACAGATGACTGGATAATCTAAATCTCTAGAATAAATTGAATCTTACCTTGTACCGTATTCATTTTTGGCAGATAATCTAAACTTACAGCCCATTGCTGGTGACAGTTTAGTAATTTTAAATTGCTTCTGAGAGCCCACATAACAGTGACAAAATTCTCCATTTCCTTTTCCCTGAGAGAAAAGGCTGATTAAATATCATGTACATAATTATGAAATGAGAAACCCCCATCAATTCCTATTTGATAAGCTATAATGAGTATGCACTTTAAGTTGACGGTTACATGGTCAACATAAAAAGGAAGTTATAACACGCATCTTTTATACGATACTGCTTATTGAAATGTAGAACTGGAGAGAATAAGTGTATTAGTACAGCCTTTTAATTGTTGTATCTTGTTTTAACTGAGACTTAAAACAAAAGTCTCAAATCCTGCGGAAGCCTTTGTAAAGTATGAGGGGGCAGGGGCATGGAAAACTGTGCTTCCATCTCTATTCTTTATGCTCTCCTCAGAAATAATTTTCATGGGCTATCACTTTATTTAAGAGATAGAAGAAACACATTCTGGGGTGGAGTTTCCAGGGAAATATGAAGTAAAGCATTTATTTAAAGAAGAAACAGACAACTCACAGGGAGACACAGGAAAGACTTCCCACAGAGAAATACAATGTCTTTCTGTTCTTCCTATGCCTTTTCACTTTCTTCCCCAAATGAACAGGGATACCTTGAGCACTGAAGTTCTGACTATATTTTGGCCACTCTCAAAGGTTGCCACGGCATATGAATTGTTATGGCACTGATATAAACATGATTTTTGTTGTTGTCTTGAGACATATCTGACAGTGCTCAGGAGCTACACCTGGCTCTGCTCAGAAATCACTCCTAGAGTACTCAGGGGACCATATGGAATGCCAGGGATCGAATCTGGGTTGGCTATTTGCAAGGCAAGTGTCCTACCCTCTCCCTGGTCCACTGGACGTGATTTTTTACATTAAGGTGTTATAATGATAGTGTAATGAACTACAGCTTGCTGAGAGGTCATGTCACTTAAGACTCATCAACAGCTGCTCTCCTTCATAGAAAGAAAGGGAGAGATCTTGCAGACTGCCATAAAATTCTGGTAGAGTTTTCTCATTACCATAAATTAAGATGAGTGCCTTGTTTGGAGTCTCTCTATATTGGGCAGTCTGTAGCCCTTCTCTCTCTGTTATCAAGTTCTCATGACCTTGCCTATACTATTCCTATCTACCTACCTAACACTGCGAAGAATATTTCTTCAGCAACATAATTACCCAGCTGACAGCATTGACACTGATTTAGTTGGGAAAAGATACATATGAAGTTACCAATGTGTTTTAACTAAAGACATCACAAATTCAGTTATGTACCACACAAAATCATACATTATAATATTAAAGAGGAAAAAATGTGGGCTGGAGAGATCTCTAACAGGCTAGAATCCGTGCTTTGCATACTGGGGGCCTGGGTTTGAATTTTGGCACTGCACTGTCCCCAGAGCACCATCAGGAGAGACCCCCTTCCCAAGCAATAAGTTGAGAGTAACTCCTGAGTACTATCAGGTATGCATACAAAACTAAAGACAGTGGAAAAGACTTAACTGTTAAAAATAAGTTTAACTAGTTATTTGACTGATGATGTACATAGTAACCATTTAAAATGATTTAATTTACTTACTTCATCCCATTCTAAAATAAAGCTTTGAATTTTAGAACCATTGTCACTAGGAGCCTGAAAGAGATACCAAAATACAGAATTAGTACTTTCATAAATGATATTGTGATAAAAAAATCTACTGTGTTGCAGATGTTGCTGTAAACTAGTCCTGAAAATATATGTCCAAATCTCACTACTGTGTGCAGATATTCTTTGTCCTAAAAAAATAATACCCTGAGAATACAAAAAATAAGTATTTTGTATATTCCATAATCCCTTTAAACGCAAAGTAGGAAAATAAAGGATGCTAAAGTTTTTCTGAATACTGAATAATCTTGTTTTTAAATTTATTGAGGTATCATGATTTTTTCCCCCTTTTTTGGTCACACTCAATGATGCTCAGGGGTTTTCCTGGCGCTCTGCACTCAGGAATCATTCCTGGCAGTGCTCAAGGGACCATATGGGATGTCAGGGAATTGAACCCAGGTTGGCTGCGTGCAAGGCAAATGCCCTCCCTGCTGGAATATTGCTCCAGCCTGAGGTATCATGAGTTATAGTACCATTAGTATTAATGTTTTAGGCATATAATGTCTAGCAAGAACTACACTAACTTTTATAAACCCTTTATGATCATCACTTCTTTTAAAACTCACCCTGCATCTGAACGTATTATGGAAGAATATGAAAGAATAAAAGAACTAGGGTTCTGTGAAGAATTTCAAGATGACATACTGTCTGAATCTCTGCTTCTATATTCAAGGTTCCAATCATCTAAACTAACTCATCAATTTTCTGTAGTGGATATTTCACTATCTCTTTATATTCTATTTTAGTATCCAATCATTCAATTTAGTGTCATTCAAGAACTAGGCCCTGAAAAATTGGGTGTAGTGTCCATAACAAGCAAACAGAAAAAAAAAAAGTCTAGTTGTTATGTATCTTATGTATCTTTTAGGATAATTCAAAATAGACAAGCTTAAGATTCACTACCTGTAACTTCTGTGCAAATCACATGTCTAATAAAGATCACTAATTATGAATTAATATAATTCTAAATCAACATTTTCTGAAATATTTACAACAGCGCACGGCACATCCTAGGAAGCTACCTATGACGTATTTGATATGCCAAACACAATAACAGTTAAGTCTCATAATGTTACTGGGCCCTCTCGAGCAAATGGATGAACAACGAGAAGGCAGTGACAGTGACAATGATTTACATCAGCAAGAAAGATGAGTGTCACTTAATATAATAAATTTAATATATGTGAAGAGAAATGGCAAATTAACTTTAAGTTCTTATCTTCAGAGACAATTATAATCTTTACACCATGGGAGAAAAAGAGGAAATAAATGTCCAGTTAAAAATATTTCAGGGATGATGTTCACGAACCACCTTTGGTACTGCTGCCATGTAAGCTTGTCTACTGGCATTGCTCCAGAGACTCAAATAAATCTCAAAAAAAGATCAACAAACCAAAACAATTTCTCTTGACACCATCTATGGCTGAAACATCCAGGGTACCCCAGAGGGGGGGCAGGTGAGTCCAGTGCCTGCCCAAACAGAGCCCCTGGCAGCCGCTTGCTTCCACACTCCAAAATCACTGTTATACCTCTGGCCCGACTCCAATGTCTCAGGACTGAGCCTCACCCAGAAATAAACTGCTAAAAATAGAGGTTTGTGGGTATTGTGACTGAAACCACCAGGCTTTTCTCAGAGTTGGGATGGGATGCCTCCCCCACATGTCCCAGTACTTTTGGAAGCCCTGACAGTCACGTCCTTGCTCTGAAGCCACCAACCAGTTAAAAATTTAATTCCGGCTGTATGTGCCACCATCTTAAAATTTCTGCAGTGAGCAGACATCTCAATGACACATGACATCTCAATCTCTACAACATTGATAAAACAGTAGCAGCACAATAGATTGGATGGGATGTAACTTAGAAGACAATCAACTTGGATTAACAAAACAGAGGAGGCTTAATCTGTGACAACATTTTAGTAATCTCACATACAAGAACTTAATATCTCCATGGTGAGATGCAACAACTTAATTTTCTTCTAAGGAAACATTTTTTGATCATTCTGTTAGCAAAATTGTTAATAACAAGCAATATAAAATAAACAAAGAGAACCTGCATGGGGGTGGGCTTAAGGGGTGGGAGGGACAATTGGAGACAATGATGGAGGGAAAGTGTAATGGTGGTGGGATTGGTGCTGGAGTATTGAATCCCTGTAACAGATCATCAGGAAGTTCGTAAAGCAGTGTCAGATACCTGTAGGGGGAAAATTTACTTATGTAGGCCCTACCTATTTCACGTAAGTTACAAAATATATTATAGCTTCCTTTAGAAGGAATTTATTTTTTTTATTTAATCATTTTTTTTATTAGTGAAACACCATGAGGTACATTTATAGACTTATAAATTTTTGTGCTTGGGTTTCAGTTATACAATGATCAAGTACCCATCCCTCCACCAGTGCCCATCCTCCCCCACCACGGGTCCTAGCATCCCTCCCACCCCCCATCCCCCCCCCCCCCGCCCCCGTCCCACCCTGCCGCTGTGGCAGGGCATTCCCCCTTGTTCTCTCTCTCTTCTTTTGGGTACTGTGTTTTGCAAGAGAGGCACTGAGTGGCAATCATGTTTGGTCTATAGACTACTTTTAGCATGTCTCTCCCACCCTGGGAGGGTCTTCACAACACCCTTTATTTGGTGCTCTCTTCTCTAAGAAGGAATTTATTAATGACAGGTGTGACATGATTATTACCATGAGATACAAATGTAAAATAAAATTTAATGTCGTATACTTGAGACTTCAGAGTTTAAAAGTTATAGAATAGCATTTTAGTATATTAAAGTATTTCAATTTTTTATTTACATAGGTCAAAATAATATAGAAATCACAAATTGGCTTACTGATTTATTTTCTGATCATTCTATTTGCCATTTCTTAAAGTTTTGTTGAAATAAGCAATAGAGAGTCAATTTATTATGTACTTAAGGAGGCTGGTTGGGATTGGGAGGGAAACTGGATATTGGTGGAGGGAAGGTCATACTGGTGGTGCTGCAACACGAACTGCTTCAAACAACGAGGTAATGAATAACCTTTGCAAATCACACTGTTTTTCTTTACATAAAAATGAATAAAGAAAATATTTCAGGGACTATTCTTACCTTCCACTGCAAAGTGAGTGAATTTTTGGTCCGATTGGCTATCCTTGGTGGGTTAGGTATATCAGGCTCACAGCTCAAGGTAGTAAAGCTTTCAGCTTCTGAAGGAGTTCCCTTTATAGAATTGTTTTCTGCCTGGACCCTAAGGCCATAAAATAATTTGTTTCATCTACAGAATCACTGTAACCTGTTGTCAACAGCATCGCCTTTAAAGCTAGCTAAGTACCTGCAAAGCTAGCTAAGTACTTAATAAGTGCTCCTTAAATACCCTGTCCAAAACCCAGAAAGTAAACAACAGTCCTTAAAATTAAAAAGAAAAATAGGACAGAACAACCTGTAGCTTTTATTTCTTACTGACTGCAATTCAGAGAAAGAAATACATTTAAAGTCAAAACTATGTGATACATATTTATATATGACACATATTTATATATACATACTGAGAAAATACCGTTTAAGCAATGTAACATACCGACAATTTCTCTATTTTAATTATAGTAAAAAATAGTAACAGGGAAACAAATAGTTAATAACACTGACTATATTTGCAGTTCTATAAAATGAAACAAAATTTTTTGATTACATACAAAAGATTTTAGGTCTGGAGATATGGCTCAGTGGAAAAGTACACCATATGTAGGAGCCCGGGATATGCATTCCCAGCACTGAAAAACTTAAGAAAATAATTGGGGATCCGAGATAGTTCAACTGGTTAAAATATATGTCTTGCATGTGAAGACCTGACTTTGTTCCCAGCACTGCTGGATGTAGCTTTGGGGGCCCTTAGCTCTGCTGGGGTGGCTCTGTGTATGCCACCACCAGAGCATCAGTGAACCTGCAGCTGAGCCCAAAGTTTCCTGGCCCACACAGCCAGGCTGAGCACCACCCGGAGTGGCCCATAGTGAATGGTAAAAAAAAATTACTTATGGTAAATATTATTTAGATTTACTGTGGTGATTATTTTATGATATACATAAATATGAGCCACGTTGTACAGAATAAGCGAATTTAATTTTATGGAAATTATAAATAAAAACTATCAAAGTAAGACCATAAACCACAAATTACTTTTATGATGGCTACCCGAAGTTTCAAAAATACTGATGGGTCAGGATAATAATTTTGGTTCATGTATAGGAAGTATAATTTACGATTTATCTGTTTAACAGGAATAATCCCAACAATAAATGCTCTCTTTAAAAATGAAGACTAACAATATTGAGACCAGATGGGGAGGAACACTATAGTCTACTGAACTTTGATAAATGTAGCAGAACATAGAATAAAATAGTGTCTAAATGATCCCTAATAAAATATTGTGAAATTGTAAGAGATTTAATATCCAAACTCTTTTTTTAAAGTAAATAAAGTCAAATGTCTAAGTTTATAAACCAAATTATTTGTGATGTTATTTTGAATAAATGTCCAAAGGCTGGAGCAATAGCACAGCGGGTAAGGCTTTTGCCTTGCATGTGGCTGACATGGCTGACCCGAGTTCTATTCCTCCGCCCCTCTCGGAGAGCCCGGCAAGCTACCAAGAGAGTCTCGCCCGCAGGCAGAGCCTGGCAAGCTACCTGTGACATATTCAATATGCCAAACACAGTCACAACAAATCTCACAATGGAGACGTTACTGGGCTGCTCGAGCAAATCGATGAACAACGGGAGGACAGTGCTACAGTATGCATTATCTATTTATTCATTATGATTCCTAGGTCCTACCAATCAGATTATTAATCCACTGAGATAACCTTTGGAAATATTTAAATCACAGAATTTTAAGGAAACAACTGAAAACAGAAACACTGTATTTCTATGTCATATGTAAAAGACCTCCTTACTTTGCATGATAATCTGTAGCAGGCTTGAGATCATTTAAAGTGACACTTGTTTCTTCTCCTCTGGGGGGAAAAGAGAAATATATTACTGTCGATAAATATACAGATTTCCAGAAGATACAAATTATTTATCCCATGCTTTGGGATACTTTGTGAAGTTAAACTACCTCTTACTTTACCAACTATAACCATATAAGACGTACAGAATTTTTGCAATTTGTAAGTATGCTAAACTTAATTGGAAAGAGACTTTGCTTTTATTTATTTTGCTTTTTGGGTCACACCCAGCAATGCACAGGGGTCATTCCTGGCTCTATACTCAGGAATTACCCCTGGGGGTGCTCAGGGGACCCTATGGGATGCTGGGAATCGAACCCAGGTTGGTTGAGTGCAAGGCAAACGCCCTACCCACTGTGCTATCGCTCCAGCCCCTGGAAAGGGACTTTATTTTATTTTTTGCTTTTTGGGTCACACCCAGCGATACTCAGGGGTTACTCCTGGCTCATGCACTCAGGAATTACTCCTGGCAGTGCTCAGGGGACCATATGGGATGCTGGGAATTGAACCTGGGTCAGCCATGTTGGCTGCGAGCAAGGCAAATGCCCTACCCACTGTGCTATCGCTCCAGTCCCTATGTGCTACCCGCTGTGCTATCGCTCCAGCTATGGCGGCTGGAGCGATAGCACAGAGGGTAGGGTGTTTGCCTTGCACGCAGCCAACATGGCCGACCCAAGTTCGATTCCTCCGCCCCTCTTGGAGAGCCCGGCAAGCTACCGAGAGTATCTCGCCCACACGGCAGAGCCTGGCAAGCCACCCGTGATGTATTCGATATGCCAAACACAGTAACAAGTCTCAAAATGGAGACATTACTGGGCCCTTTCGAGTAAATCGATGAACAACGAGAGGGCCTTTACATTTTTAACCTTACTTAATTATGCACCTGCAAAGCACTGTACGACAAAAAGTTGTGTTAAATTATTTAAATCACACTATTTCAAAACGATTAAGGAAGGTATTTAATGACTTGACGAAAGGGAATTATTTTCACTTCATTTTGCACAGCTGAAATATTACACAACATACACAACTACCAAATGTTTATAAGCAGTGTGCCAGTATTGTCTTTTATTAGACTAGAACATGGAATTTAAAAAATATATAGCTTAATGAGTAGATAAGAAAAAGGCGAACCAAAAAGCACACAACTAATTATATTTCAAGGAAATAGCACGATCTTCTTAAAATAGTTTGATATCAGATTTATATTGGTATCCACAAACTACTCTATTTTTTGCTTGTTATTTTGTTTTTCGGGTCCTAGTGCTCAGGGCTTACTCATGGCTCTTTGATCATTTCTGGTGGTGCTCAGGGATCAGATGTAGTGCCAGGGACTGAATCCAGAAAGGTAACGCACTACCATCTCTCTGGTCCCAGACTAGTCTATTTTTCAATCTTTATTATTATTTTTTAACGTTTATTCTCTCTTCACTCTGTATAGCACCTTGTACATGCCTATCTTCCAGTCAACCTATTTTCAAATTAAAACCATTGAGTATTATAAGAAAGAAAGCATTTCTCATTGATGCAAGTACACTTTAATGAAATGGGCAATTGTGTAGCATCCTTAAAGAGATTTAATTTAATTGCTGTAGGGTAACGGAAACAACTAATGTCCCTCTGTGCATTCTGGTCAAACTACAAGTAGAAATTTTTCTTCTTAAGCAAGCAGTCATGTCTAATTACAAACAGCCATTCCCACAAAAATGATGGGCCTTTATGTTTTTTTTTTTTGCTTTTTGGGTCACACCCGGCGATGCACGGGGGTTATTCCTGGCTCATGCACTCAGGAATTACTCCTGGCGGTGCTCGGGGGACCATATGGGATGCTGGGAATCGAACCCGGGTCGGCTGCGTGCAAGGCAAACACCCTACACGCTGTGCTATCGCTCCAGCCCCAGATGGGCCTTTATGTTAATAGGACTTTACCCCACTTACTTAGGTATATTTGTCTCCTTTAAGAAAAATGAACTAACAGGGGCCTTAGCGATAGTACAGTGGGTAGGGTGTTTGCGCCTTGAGGCTGACCCTAGTTGGATCTCCAGCATTCCATATGATGCCTTGACCATTGCCAAGGGCAATTCTTGAGTGCAGAGCCAGGAGTAACCCCTGAGCAATGCTGTGCTCTAGCTACTCCCCACAAAAGAATCATGAGTAACATATATCTCAACAGATAAGATGATCAGACCTTTTTATAACACATAGTAAGAGATGATGGTCACTGGGACAATTTCACTTTTCTTTTTACCCTGTGTTAGCTATGTTTTGAAAGAAGATGTAGAATGCATTTGGTGTTCTGTGATACAATCAAATGACTAACCACTCCCTTTATAATCTGCCTAGTGCTAAATTTTAAGAAATCATGAAGCTTACTTTTTATTTTTCATGAGAACAAGCAACTCCTATGAATACAGAAAACTATTCTGCAACTATCAGTAATGAAAGTCAATTTTAGTCAATAACATTGTGGCTTCTTAAGTGGTAATTCTGAAGCAAGGAAAAAGAGAATGCTGTTAGGTTTTAAAAATGATTAAAATGAGCAGTTCAGGAGTTCCGCTGAAAAAATTCTGTGTATCTGGTTCTGAGTTCAACGTAATATCTATTTTTGTCTCAAGAATGTCTGAGTTGTGAAACATCTATTAGTAAGAGTCTACCAAAACTCTAACAAAGGTGAATATGGGCTGGAAGCACAGTGGGTAGGACGTTGCCTTGCATGTGCTAACCTGGCTTCAACCCTTGGCACCTCATACTGTCCCCCTCGTGAAGGCCTGTAGCGGATGTTGATGTGACGTGATTTCTGCCCAGTGATTTAAATGTTAAAGTGAAGAAATTCAATGAAGTGTGGGTAAAGGGCGGGAGTAACTATGACTATCTTAAGGTAGCCAAATGCCTCGTCATCTAATTAGTGAAGCGCATGAATGGATGAAAGAGATTCCCACAGTCCCTACTTATTATCCAGCGAAACTCTGCCAAGAGAACAGGGTTGGCACAATCGGTGGGGAAAGAAGATCCTGTTGAACTTGACTGTAGTCTGGGGCGGTAAAGAGACATGAGAGGTGTAGAGTAAGTGGTAGGCCCCCCCAGCATGCCTCAGTTTCCCCTTGAGGGGGCGGGGCAGGGTGCACTGGCCTTTCACCGAAAGAACTAACTGGGCTACTTTAAAATAAGACAAGTCCCATTTGGTCCCGAGTCCTTCCAGGAGTGATCCTTGAGAGAGCCAGGAGTAAGCCCTGAGTACCATGGGGTTCGCTCCAAAATAAAATAAAATAAAATAAAAAACCCACAGAACTCAAAACAAAACAGCTGAAAGTAGCCAAAGAAAGTGTTTCCACGGAAGGGAAAGTCTAACAGGTGGCATGAGATCTATCTATATAAAAAGTGTCATGATTATTCAATTTATAGATCCAAAGTGGGAAAAAGCAGTTACTACTGAGGTTCTTTACAATAATTAACTTACATAACAGGAGGAAATAAAACACAATGAATACCTACATATAAACACTTTTATATTTCCCATCTTTTCCAGTACTTGATATCAGAATTTCATAGCCATAGAACTCTGGTGCATTCGTTTCTTCTGCTTCCCCATTCATGAGGCTGGAAGGAGGCGACCACGTCAGGACTACTGTCCTTGCCTGAATATCTGAGGCCTGCAAGAACAAAGATTTAAAAGCTCTTTGCCAAAACTATTATGCACACAACAAACAAAAAATATCAAGTGTGTTTCAAGATCAAATAAAATATATTTAGATGTATCTGCTAAATGGCTTACAACTAGAAGCCTATTATTAGATGAGATATAGTTTCCTATGAAAAGATGCAAGTTTAAAGACCATTCTGTACATTTAAAACTATTAGTATACAGTTCAAAGACTGGGGGAATAAAACCTCACATGATTTAAAAAGGTTGATTGAAGTTAGGAAGTGTCCTACAGTAAGAAAAAGACAAAGAAAAAAAATGAAAGGAGATAAACTATCGAAAACATAAATGGATAAAGTATCCAATTATGTGAAACTGCATTTGTAATTAAATGGAACTTTAAAAAAATACTACTTCCCATTCAAGGGACAAGGAGAATTGAAAAGTCATTATCTGTTTGTTCAGTATTGAGAGAAATGATCACTTTCTCCTGTGGTGCCAGGACTGAACCGAGGCTGTCTATGCATAAGCACTGGCTGGCTGCTCTCTTAAGCTCTAGATCTGGATGCATATGGAGTTAGGGGCAGTTTCTAGACAGAGATTCTTGAACCCTTTACGATCTTTTAAAATATATTTTCTGATTCAAGAAGTCTACTTCTAGAAATTTTTTTTGTGACACTATAATATAAACTTTCATCAGCGCATGAATATATTCACTGTGATATTATTAATAGTGGAGAGAAGTTGGAATATTTGTATAGCCTTACATTACTATGTAGGTGTTGAAAAAAGTCTTATAAATAAATGCATAATAATCTCAGTTAAGACTTTTAAAAATGCATACAAATACCAGAAAATATACTGCACAAGTATATTAAATTTTGGGGGATTTTTGTGCATGCGTGTTGGGATACATAAAGACTTTTAAGAGAAAAAAGGTTTTAATAATATTAATTTTATCTCTTGGATTACTGAAATAGTTTATGAGCATGTATTGCTTTTATAATGAAAGTCTAAGAAAGAGGAAAAGCATTTAGGGATTGAACAAAAGACTGGCAGAGATACCTTAAGGTTTGTGTACAAAGCTTGCTTTAAAATTATCTATATTTAATGATCATCTCTTAGTTATTTCTAAATATGAATCATAACAGAGTAAATCATATATGTGTTTTAACTAACTGCTATGCTATCTCTCTAACCCCTCAAAGGGACCTCAGTTTCAGAAAATTCTATGTTTTTTGATTGCTAGTAAAGAATGCTTTAAGGCTCTAATGCATTCAAAAAAGTTCAATTTGTATGAGCACTTCACTTGATGTCATTATTTTGTCACATATTATTTTTCTATTAGAATAATGGGTTTTATGTAGGTAATTTGAAAAACAGAGAATTTTATGTAGCCAGTTTTGCTATGTTTTTTTTTTTTTCTCTTCTGATATCTTCAATTGCACTTAAGGCTTCTGAACTTATTTGGCTTATTTTTCTCTTCCGAAAAAATTACTTGGAAATCCACTCCCTAACCTCATCTATGCATCACCCAAATAAACCATTTTTAAGTAAACAAACAGAAAATCCTACCCACTTGCACCAGGAGTTATTACTGTGACCCTTAGCTATTAGAGCTGGGGCAACTTTATACACTTTAAGAGTAATATTACCTCTCTTGATTTCATTAATTCCTTTTGCATTGGATTAAATATGTTTTGTATAAAAACCATGAAAGTGGGTTTTGAAAAAAACTGATAGTCATATCCACATCATTAGATCTTTCCCCTACTCCAATGCTTTGCAATGCCATTTATTATACTAAATCTTTGCTTAAAAATTAAATTTGTTTAAAATCTGCTTCACTGATCAACATCTCTCTCCTTACATCTGACCTGCAGTGATCCTCTGACCTCACTTTCCTTATGAATGTTTAAGTTGTATGTAAGACTTAAAATAAAACCACCCCAATATCCTATATAACATTAACTAAGATGACAAAAAATAAAAAATACAAAAGATACTTACCACTGGTTTGGCAATGTTGGACAGAAGTGCTTCAAAAGCTTTAGTTTCTTCGTCTTTTTCTTAAAAAACACACACACACAAAGTTTTTTTCAATATTATATAAATGAACTTAAATGTAGTCATTCCTTTCTCCTTACAATGTATTTTCAAAAATCAGAGGGATATTTTACATTTTTATTGTCTAGTTTTTATTGTGTTTGTGTACAGCAATTTGTGGCTCTCCAAAATTCTTTGGCTAGATTCTATTGCCATTTAATTAGGATTTTTATGCTACATATCTAAGTCAGTAATAATTTTTTTCTTGTTGAAAGCACATTTTACTTAGTTGTAATTCACTGGAAAAATTTCATTTGCCAATTCATACCTCAATTGCTGTTTTGTTTTGCTTTTGGGCCACATCTGGCAGTGCTCAGAGATTGCTCCAAGCAGAGCTCAAGGAAACCATGTGCCATATTGGAGACTGAATTAGGTTGGTCACATGCACAGCAAGTGTCTTCATCCCTTTATTATCTCTCTGGCTCAATTTCATATCTCTTAATAATTAATAAAATATTTGCTTCTTGACATACCTTAATTGTGGATCCAACATAGGAATACAATTAGTTTGACTAATTTTAGCTACTACAGATGTATCTGAATTTTTACATCTGAAATAGTACAACTGAAAATGAATGAATAGTAGGTTTCAAGAATAGGATCAACACTTTTGTAAATGTACATTTGTTGCTGGGAAATGGAAAATTTAAAGAGAAGAAAGTGATGTTCATATGACAGAAGTCAGGTTAGGAAAGATTCCAAGAGAAAACAAGGCAATTTTAAAAAACAGAAACTTGAAAAAAGGAATGGAAAACATTCTCCTAAAACTACACAGTACACAGATTGGTAAATGACATAAAACTGGTTGTTATCAGCGGTCCAGACACAAACAGGGGAAATACAGGTAGCATATCCTTATTAGAGGTCCACAAAAAAGGGAACACGGTTTTATTTCATCTGCATTTTCCATCAAATTTCTCTTACCTAGTAAAATTTATGAGACTAGGAAAATGGGTTAACCCAAACTGTGAAAAGAAGTACCCTAGTATCGATTTAGATTCTGAAGTCTTTTCTCACACAGCTAATGTTAGGCTATTAATTCCGATTCTATTTAGAGCATGAAGATGAGAATGTATTTTAATAGGTTAAATGATAAGGAATCATGACATCATTACTTGTTCAGTTACCTTCAGTTTCTGCATCAATTTGTGCGCCGCCTCGTCCTTTCCCAGACTTGCTTTTTGCTGACCCCGTGCCTATGCCACTTTGTCCTTTCGTCAGTCCATTATGTTCACTGATGGGAGAAGGGCTCTTCTGGGGCGACGACGGTGGACTGTTCATTTTGTCTTTCTGGGTTCCTTGGCGATCCTTTAATTTTTTCTGCAAACGTTCATATGTCTTACTAGATCTTTCATCTCTAAAGTTAGATCTTCCATGTGTTGAGTGAGCATCTAGGAAGAAACAGAAATATTTAAAAGCGGTCACTTAACTTGTATTTAGGGTGTAAGAAAAGATAAAAAAAATAATTTTGTAAAAACAAAAACTTTTTTTGGTGTCTCTCCCAACTATAGAACCAAGTTTTGTGACCTCCTGCACTGTTTCTTCAGACCCTGAAAGGTGTTTGTTTTCTTATTTTTGAAGCACACTTATGTGATGCTAAACATCTTATAACGTACAGTGTCTCTGAATGTATATCTTATAAAATACAATGTCTTTCAAAACAAAGACATTATCCATACCCAAGTATCAAGTACTGAGATTTAGAAAACCTGGTCTAGGGAAACAGATTTAGGATTCTGCTCTAAATGCAATGGGAAATCATAAAAATAGTAAAAGCAAAGTTTATTATTTGACTTTAAAAAGGTTACTCTAGCAAAGTATGCACATTTGGGGGGTAAGAATGGCAGAAAAACTAAGGAGAAGGCAGTTAAAATATGCCTAAGGATCAGAAATATTTTTGACAGAAATCTTGGTAGAATATTTTTGATAAGAAATTTGGTATTCTGGTAGAAAATAAAAATATGAGTCAGTATACAGACGGTATTTAAAGACGCAGCAAAGAATTTAAGATGACTGTATGTGTAGTTATCTTTTCTTTTTTTTTTAAAAAAAATTTAATCTTGAATGGAAGGCCAGCCACAGGCTCTAGGTGAAAAGGAAGCTCAGATAGAGAAGAGAGTACCAAATGAAGGGTGTTGTGAGGGCCCTCCCAGGGTGGGAGAAGCATGCTAAAAGTAGTCGATAGACCAAACATGATTGCCACTCAAAGCCTCTCTTGCAAAACACAGTACCCAAAAGAAGAGAGAGAGAACAAGGGGGAATACCCTGCCACACAGGCAGGATGGGACGGGGGGGGGGGGAGATCAGGGTTGGGGGAGGGGGATGCTGGGACCCGTGGGGATGGATGACGGGCACTGGTGGAGGGATGGGCACTTGATCATTGTATAACTGAAACCCAAGCACAAAATTTGTAAGCCTATAACTGTACCTCATGGTTTTTCACTAATAAAAAAAGAAAAAAAAAAAAGAAAAGATGAAGTCATGAACTTAAAAAAAAAAAATTTAATCTTATAAACCATATGGCTTACAATCGCTAAACGGAAGGGTTTCACGCATAAATTCCAGTGTCACACCATCCATCCACCACAGTGTCCACCAATCCACTACTGTCCCAGTGTCCCTCCACAAATCCACTATTTCCCAATGTATTTCCAGCCCCTTCCTCCCTTCTTCGTGATAAACTTTGCAGACAGGTTCTCAGATTCTGCTGCTTTTGGGTATTTGTTTTCCCCTACTGTGTTTCTTTATATCCCGAATAAGAGATCATTCTGTGTCTTTTTAACAAGTTATTAACTCTCAGAGGGCAGAATTATGCTTTACTCTGCTTTTTTTTCATCTCTCACAGTATCTGGCAACTCTGGTTAGTGACAACACAGATTTAAAATTTAATAACGACATTTACTCCATAAATGCACATAACTACTACTCCAGGCTGAAAATTTTTTTCAGCGTCTACAGAACAGAGGAAAAGATCGGTCACTTGAGTATGACTCAACTAAATATTACTGTACAATTTAAGTTCCGCTATCTTGTTTGTCTTACAGGGTATATACCAGGATGAAACACAATACAGTAGCACTTCTGTGATATTAAGTGCTATGATACTATATAGTATGACAGTATCTAGTAGGGTAATTGAAGCAAAACCAACTGGGTTGAATGAAGAGATTCCGATGTCTTACCTACATCTCCATATACTTGTGAAGACTGGTACTGTGGCAGATATTGTGTAGCCATGTCTCCAGCTCCAGTTACCGGTGAATACATGTGGCGTGGTGGAGGGGGCATCATGGTTGGGACAGAAATAAAACCAGGCAGAGGAGGATGTGGAGACCTATGAATGACGGTGTGGCCACCAGGATGAAACTCTGGTGCCTGTGGAACCACAACGACTCTCCGAACACCATTATCTTCAATAACCTGCAAAACAAACACTGTCAAGTTACTTCCATGGGAGTTAAGCAAATTTTCTGAAACATGTCAGAGTAAGATTTTTTATACCATTGGAAGTTAATTTTACAGAACCTCCACAAGAAGATTTTATTATTAAATACATGTGAATTAGCATTGAACAAAATGAAGTAATTGTCATACAATGCAATATAAATCTTAAGAGACTAAATAAAAAAAAGAACAATGATTTGCAAAAAAAAAAAGGGAGACTGAAGTGAATTTCTTGTTTAAGTACAATAGGATTAGAAAAAAATTTCCTTTTCCATATTATGATGGTAAGGGGAACATAAGTAGTATAAGAATATAAGCAATGAAACAGAAATTAGGTGGGGAATGGAAACCTGGAACCAGACTCCAAGGAAATCAACCACACACAGAATGTAGATAAAAAAAATTCTATAACCACAGGAGCGCAATTTTAACAGTTCATCTCAAGGGAGGTAAATACCTAATATATTAAAATCCCAGTTAAGCAAAATATACAGAGCTTTGAATCTTAGAAATTAACATTTAATTTTTCGGGTTTCTTTTTTTCTTTTTGGGTCACACCTGGTGATGCACAGGGGTTACACCTGACTCTGCACTAAAGAATTATCCCTGGTGGTGCTCAGGGGATGAATATGGGATGCTGAGAATTGAACCAGGGTCAGCTGCGTGCAAGGCAAATGCTCTACCCACCGTGCTATCGCTCCAGCCCCAGAAATTAACATTTTAAAGTAGAGATCATGTACTAGAAAAAGTGTTTTTAGTGCTTTTCTTTTCTTTCTTTTTTTTTAAAGACAGATTTATTCCCTTTAAACCTCAATGGAGCAGCAAGAATATAGTGTTCTAGAAAGCACGATTTTATTTTAAATTATAAACCTGTCTGCTAAAACAGAGCCTTTGGACTTACATAATTAATATCAAGGGTTAGTAATTCCTTTTCTAAGTAAGCAGAAAATGGGTAAAATGTAAACTGCTGACTCTAAAGAAAATTGTAATGTTTTTAGAAAGGCCAGATTTTGCTTAGAACATCAAATTCTGTAAATAAATATAGACATATAGGTATATCAGAACACACACTTACTTGGTACAGGTAAGTCAAAAGAAGAAATAAATGACTATTTTTTTAGAAACAATATTAATATAGCTATTGTTCAATAATCTAAAAGACTAACTTTTGAGATTATGAGATGATTAGTCTCATATGGGACAAGAATGCCAAATGAATTCACTGATTTTTACATGCTAACTCTTAGAACTACAATGTTTTGCTTCCAGAAAAGCAAATACCTCACATCCCATCTTTTCTTTTATTTAACTCAATTCTGAAATCCAGTCTCAGACAAATGTTTATGTCTCGCAGAAACTAAACTGTATCTGGGACCCTAAGCTGAATAGACTCTAAAACTATAGAATTTCAGCTTCTTATCTTCAAGAAGGGACTTTAGAAATTTTGTATGGGTTTTCTTTTTAGGGAGGAGGAGGGCTGGAAAGTTTGTATCACCCTGGGTGGTGCTAGGGGGACTAGTATTGGCTCTGTGCTCAGAGGTTACTCCTGGTATGTACTAAGAGGACCATATGCAGTGTCAGGGCTCAAACCAAAGTTTCATGCAAGGCAACTAATGGATTTTGAGTTAGCAAAACCACAATGTCTGACCTCAGTATACTACTTTTATCTTTATTAAATCTGACTAAAAGTATCTTAATCCCAAATCTCTGGGAGTAGTATATTCATAATCTTCAACCCTGCATTCAATCTGGTTCTGTCTCTCGCTATGCTATGTAAGCTATACACCAAATTCTGAACCCTCAACTCCAGTTATGTTGGTGGAATAGCATCATCTTCACACCGACCTATTTCTGCACTGTTCATGCCATCTTTTCTCTTCATTTTCTTTCCCCTTACGAAAAAACATGCGAACCCTATGTCTACTTATAGAGCTATCTTGAATTTTACTCCCTCTCCTCATTACAAACTGCTTGTCTTTAGGATGACCAAAGAAACCGATCATTTAGAAAAGAGAAAAGGTGTTAGAATGAAGTTTTTGTGTGGAGCAGATAAATATAATGTTTGCACGGAGCAAGGTGAAAAAACTATGAATAGCAAGTAGAATGGTATTTAAAAATAATGTTTTTTGTTTGGGGACAAAACCCAGTGAAGCTCAGGCATCACTCCTTGGGAATCCATATCTAACCAGGATCAGTGCATGCAAGGCAAGTGCCTTAACATCTGGACTAACCCCTGTCCTGCCTCTCTAGCTTGATTAAAAAAATATTCCTTATGATTTATAATCCGTAACCTGATTATTTATCTATATGCCTGGGGTCACACAATTTTTGACAAAAGAGCTGGGTATATGAAGTGGTATAAAGATAGCCTCTTCAGAAATGGTGCTTGGAAAACTGAATCATCACATGTAAAGAAGAGATGGATTCATATCCTAAAAGGCACACACAAAAGTCAATTCAAAGTGGAACCTTGAGATCACTGAAGAAAATATAGGAAGAATGCTCCAAGATTTGGACCTCAAAGGTGTTTTCAAAGATACAATCCCCCTGACAAAGAGGCAACACAAGTAAAAATAAACAAATGGACGACACCAAATTAAAGAGATTCTGCATAGAAAAAGAAACATGGGCTAAAATTAAAGGAAGCCCAACTCAATGGAAGAAAATGTTTGTATTCAACACATCAGATAACCCCTAGGGTTAAGACCAAAGTGTGTAAAGGAGAAAGAAAAAAGTGCCTACCACAGACACAGCCTGGGGGGATGGGAGGTGGGAGGGAATGAAGGGACACTGGTGAAGGAAATGGTTGTTGGGAACACAGTATACCTGAAACTCAATCATGAATAACTTTGTAATTCACGTGATTCAATTAATTTTTTTTAAAAGATCCAAGATACATAAAGTATTCACAAAGATTAGCAACAACAATAACAAAAAATCCCAAACCCTTTCAAACAGATGGGAAGAGGAAACCTGAGGAGAACAGGGGAATGGCCAATATGCACATGTAAGTGTGTTCATCACATATCACAAATTCAGATGACGAGACAGCACTTCTTTTGAGTGAGAAAGACTATAACAAAACAAACTGGAACCAACTGGGTTGGTGGGGATATGCTGAAAAGGAACTTTCACCCACTGCTGCTGGGAATATCGTCTGGTTCAAAGCCCATAGAACACATTATGGCGATTTCTCAGAAAACAAAGGACTGCCATCCCCTCAGCAATTATATTTCTTGGTATCTATCCCCAGACACAAAACAGTCAAGGGGACATCTGCACAGCACCTAGTATAACAGCTAATATAGGGAATCAACCTAGGTGCCCAATAGATGAATGGATAATGAAGACATGGTATAAAGATGTAGTGAAATACTATGCAGCTGCAAGGTCTGATAAAATCAAGCAATTTGCGGCAATTTGGATGGAACTGGAGGATATCATGCTAAATTGAGTCAGAAAAGGACAAATAACATATTACTTCTCTTATCTGTGGTATACAGAATAACAGCATGAGTAAATGCACAGTATCAAAAGTGGATACCTAGGTTTTCCTTGTCCATAGAAGTGTGGTGTATATTTACAAACAAACCACAGAGCCAACAACATTGAAAGCATGATGTTCAATCTACAACAAAAAATGTGTGTGTCAAGGAGGCAGTCTGGGGAAAGGGCTCGGGAACGAGGAAACACTGGTGGAGGAGAGCAGACCCTGATGGTGGGACTGAAGCTGAAACATGTATGACCAAAACTAAACTATGAATGATTTTGCACATCAATCACAGTGGCTTAAGTAAAAATTTTTTATTAGGTCACATGAGTAAAAATAAGTTTAAACAAACAGTCCTGCTCAGAGGACATTTGACAGTATCTAGAGCCTTTTTTTTTTTTTTAAATTCTGAGCCATGCCTTGCTGTTCTCAGGGTTTAATTCTGGCTCTGCACTTGGGTATTACTCTTGGTGGGCTTGGAAGACCAGATAGGATGCCGGAGATTGAATCTGGGTCAGCTGCATGCAAGGGAAATGCCCTACCTGTTGTACTATTGCTCTGGAGCCTGTTTCTGTTTTGGGACCACACCTGGCAGTGTTCAAGGCTTACTCCTGGCACTGTGTCCAGGATCACTCTTGGCAGGGTCAGGGGCAGGGGTGACGGACATATAAGGTGGCAGGGACCAAACCTGGGTTAGCCACATACAAAGTAAGTGCCTACTCACTGCACTATGGCTTTCTCCTCTAGAGACATACAAAAAATTGTTTTAGTATGACAATTGGAGGTGGCAGTACAACTGGCATCTATAAGTAAAGAAGTCAGAGATGCTTTAAATATTCTGTAACACGGAAAGACAAAACCTTGAAACAACAACCAAAAAACTGCTTGTCCTAATTGTCTATAGTAACAAGGTTGAGAAACACTAAAATAAGTTCACATTTAACAGGACAGCTTTAATGGCTAGAGAGATTGTAGGACAAGAGTCTAAAAATAGGAATGCCATGAAGGAGGCAATTTAGCAATCTAGGCAATAGATGATGATGGTTGGGTCAGGATGAAAAGTGGTTTACATTTTGCGTATGTTTAAGAGATTCAAGAGGGGTCAAAAAGATAGTAAATGAGGTGGCATGCTTACAGTGATCCAGGGCGACCCTTATTCAATCCCAACACATATGGCTCCCTGAATGGTTCCCCAAGTACCACCAGGAGTGACCCTGAATGGTTCCCCAAGTACCACCAGGAGTGACCCTGAGTACTGTGGAGTGTGGCCCTGAACTACCCTCCCCTACACCACTTCCCCCAACAAAAAGATACAACATTAGCTGATGATTCCATCAGAGAAGGAAAAGTAGTCATGAGAGGAAGGCTATCCATCATCTGCAATGAAGAAGACTAAGTTATTTTGGAGAAAATTCAGAGTTTTAGGTTGGGCATCTGAGTTTTGTAATCCTGTGAAAAATCTAAGTGGAAATATGCACTAGATATTTGAGTTAGCTACACTTACTAGCCTGCAATTCAGCAAAGAATGGGAAAAGGCAAACAAGTAAGGGAGGAAGAAATGAGCCTAGACATTTGGTGAAATGTATCCAGAAGAATCAACTATGTCATGTCAAACAAAAGACTAATAATGGATCAGTGAGTTTATTGAATGGAAAGTCATAATATTGAGAAGAACCATTCTGGTATAATCACAGGGCAAAAAAGGCAAAGTGGGGGAAAATTAAGAGTTACTATCAGTTTGGGGAAGTTTTCCTGCCAAGGGGAATATAGAAACAGGGTGGTAGCAGTAGAGTTAAGAAACCATAAAGAATTTGGTTTTGTTTGCTTTTCCGGCCACAACCAGCAGTGCTCCGGGGCTTGCTCCTGGGTCTGTCCTCAGGGATCACTCCTGGCAGGCTCAGGGATTGAAATAGGATCCGCTGCACGAAAGGAAAGCACCTTACCCTGTTTGTACAATGGCTCTAGTCCCAAGAATTTGTTTTCATTGAATGCAATCACAGTATACTGATTTACTAAAGGTAATGGCCTATCATTAGAGACTTCTTTCCTGGGTACTCGATTCAGCGGTTCCCCCTCCACACCCCAAATTTCTATTACACTCATTCTTTATCATTTGGTATTTATAATCAAATACAAATACTTCTAGTACTGTTGATTTTCCAAGTGTAAATGTTACATAACCTGACAAAACTTATCAACAGATATTTACATTAAGTATGTTAAGCTAATCCTTAAAATGCTACAAACATGTTATTAATAACTGGCTAATATTGCTCACTTTGACAGTAAGTAGAAGAGTATTTAAACTCAAGCAATTTGGTTCTGATTTTACGCTCTAATCTATTTTGTAGAATCAAAAGGTACCTGTCTTCTAATTTTTAAATTTCATGACATACAGAAAGAAGTTATTATTTTTAAAATAAATGGCTAGGGAACAGAGATAGTGCGGCATATGACACAGTGCCCTGCTTGTGGCTGATGCAGGTTTGATCCCTGGCATCTTCTATAGGCCCCTGAATCATGCCAAGAGAATCCCTAAGCAGAGAGCCAGGAGTAAGTAATGCCAGGTATGGCCCCCAAACCAAAGCAAACCAAAACTTAATAGTTGTAAGAAAAAAAAAAAGAAGATCTAGACCAAATTAGTCTGCTTAAATGAATAAATCAGCATAGTCTTACCATCCACCTAACTCTACATAAGTTCTAATTAGGAGAAGCCCTACTTTCTTTTGAAAAACAGATATTATAGTACTTAAATGAATGTTTTATAGTTGCAGAGCTACTACAGCAATCCCCTCTCCATCATAATTCTCTTTTTTAACATAGATACAATTGAAAAGGACTATAAAGAAAAGTAGAAAGAAGATTCTGTTTTATAACAGAAGTGTCTTCTACACCAGAAATACATTCTTTGATAGAACAGTTCTGTTTTCTCCCCCAAACTCAAAATAGTTCACCTATCATATAGACGGTGCTAAAAAAAATTGAAGACTAAATGATATGGTGGGAAATAAATGTATCTTATTATACTAGGAACTACATTATTTTTTCTCCTGTAACACAAGCTAGTAGTGGTCATGAGTTGCCAGCTTTGTTTCTCTTCTACTTACTCGTAGCAACTGATTTCTACATAGTTTTACCTGAATTTAGAACTACTCCAGCTTTAATCTATTATACCATTTCTCACCTTTTATTCACAGGTATTTACTTCACATATCACACATACATACATAACAATGTCAGAAACACATGACAATCCCTTTTTCCTCTTATTTTCACTCTTGATCCTCATCTAAAGCTTGAAGTACCCCTACCTTCTAGTTTCTTACACCAACGACCACTGTCCAGGTTATTCTCAGATGAGAAAGAAAAGACTGGTATCACTCTAATTTGTAGACTCTCCGAAATTTACCGACCTTATTGCTGTGAGCTGACATAATGACTAAGTGACAGAAGCCCTCCACCCACATTATGAGATCTACAATCCCCTCCTTGTTGGCTACCTTTCATCACCATAACAACCCACCTCCAGAAAAGGCAGGAAAGCCAGTACAGGAAAGGCAGAAGGAGAGAACTTTTGGTACTGTCTCTCAGCGGTAGGTATCATTCAAGTAGTTTATAAGCTCAAAATTCTCTGAAAATTCTTTATTTGTTAGATTATTGAACTTTCTAAAATTATGTTTGTAATTAGAAGGACAGCTAAACAAATATACTACATGTATACGATGACCTTTTGGCTATAATTTAATGCATTTACCTCCAACATACCAATATGCTAATATATTTTCCATTGACTTATTTATAAAAGTAACATTCCTTTATGTTTAAACTCTGGGTGAGTACATTAATGTGCTCTCTGCATATCATTTTATAGTTAATATTAAATCTCCCTACCACATTGGATAACATCTTATATAGTTTTGAGACTAATATTTTTTTAAACACTGGTTTAAAAAAGTTAATGATTTTTCTGATCCAATAATAAAGATATTATATACGTAGCTAAAAATCTATTTTTTTCCCAAGAACTATTTTGTTTTTGTTCATGAGTGGAAAAGGGGAAAAATAATTGTCCTGAGAAACTGTCTGCTTCTGGTGATAGGCATTCTGTATCTTAAAAAATGAAATTATTAAAAAATAAAATTAAGGGCTAGGGATGTTGACTCAAATGTAGAACACAGTCTTTGCCTGTGTGAAGTGTCAGGTTCTATCCCAAGCACTACTAGATGAGATTCCCATAAAATTACAGAAAGTTTAAGTTAATACATATGTATGACTTAATGAGTTCATATCTGAAATGATTATAAATTGAATAGGGTAATGTCATTAATACAAGTATCACATTTGAAGGTTATCTCAGGTAAGTAATGATTTCTTCTTATTTTTCTGGTAATGCCTTTCATGAAATCTTGGTGTTAATTTTAAGCAAAAGTCTGCTGAAGCACTTTTTTATTGTCCTGTCGTAATATGCTCTTAGATAATGCAGATTACTTTTTCCTCAGTTATAGGGCTAAACAGTCTCAACAGTGGATTTTGGTATTTGTAGTTCTGTTTTACCAAGCTTTTTAGAACACATAATTCTGCTGCATCCTACAAGTAGTAGATAATGCTATATTATAGCAAGAAGCTCAAACTTCAATGTTAGGAAAAGAAATAAAAAATGAGATAATGAATACAGACTATACAGAATCATAGTAGTAGAAGAAATTAAACATCTGCAGGTCTTAACAGTTTAAATCAAGTTGTCTGTACAAATAAGTTATTATACTTAACTCAGCAGAACAGAGTTACAGATGTGTAGCAATGCTGATCCTCTTAGGGTTACTGAATTAAAATTTTTCCTGTTTTATATGACACAACTATTATGGGTATCTGTGAACCACTGTATAAGTTAAGATTAGAAGCTGCAGAGTCTTGGATTGCTTCTAAGCAAACGGTTAATTAAAATAATGTTACTGTAGACAACCTTACACATTGATATTATTAATGTATTCAGGAAGATAATATTCTAGAATCTGTTCTTTATAAAAACAGTTCAACACCCAAAGATAATGCCAAATGACAAGGACAAGAAATTTAATTTTCTTTCCTTTTAAATATATTAAACACATTTAAATAGAAGCTATATTATATTTCAGCAAAAATCTTAATTAAAGTCAAACAGTAACACTAAAATCACCATTATATAGATAAAAAAAAAGAAAAATAGCATAAAACATACCTGTGGGGCATAACCAGGAGGCACATAAATAGGAGGCACAGAACCATTTGGGGACATCATTGGAACCTGAGCAGGACCTGAATGGGTCACAGAAATCATCTATTAATTGGGGACCACTTAGTAAGCTAGTGTTGAAAGCAATTTGAATCACACATTGAGTACTTCATGTAAATACTCAAACTCACAGTGGCTATATTACTGTGAAAAGATGAAAAAAAGTTTTTGAGTAAGATACACTTACTAAAAAAAATAGTTCATTTTATAAAATGTACCAATCACTCTTTACCTGCAGTATGTTTCTTGAACTTGCCTGCTCCACCCGGAGACCCTTGAAAATGGTACCAACTTCTCAGTTCCCACAGAGGCTATTTTTAAAAATGCTAACAGAAAGTTCTGAATCAGTATTTACTTTACAAATATCCAGGTGATTATTATGACTCCTCAAGTTCCAAAACATGGACCTACAAGAAAACCAAACTAGACTTTGCATACAGAGTCAGTGAAAGAAAAGACGAAATTCTGAGAAGAGAAAATGAAGTCCAGCGGAAAGCAGTACAGAAGAATCTTTGGAACTTTACTGGGCTAAAAGCCTGTTCCTCTTCTGCTATGTCTAAGTCATGTCTGGAAGGGCTTGAGAATGAATTAAAGAAGTGCTGTAAATATACATTTAGCTAGAGAGAAATTGTCTTAGGCTAGAAGTTTGAGAAAAAGAAAATTCAGTCTATCTTACTTCTGTCTTTTACAGTGTTACCCTTTCCAAACAATTTTATAAGTATCTCATTACTTCCTCTTTTTAATTTTCTGGGATAACAAAGGCACTTTAGGGCTGAGGACATAGTAGAAGTCATATGCCCAACCCAGATCCACTCTCCAGCACCACATGGCCTCCTAAGCAGATTACATATGGCTCCAGAGACCCTGAGAACTGCTTGGGAGGCCCTCAGTATCCCCACAGAGGCATTAGTTTCAGAAGATATGGTTATTTTACTTTACATACCTTAAAAAACCAACACCTCACCTTCAGACCCTTCCCCCTCCCCCAATTTTAAACACCATTGTCCCCTTACCCACTAATAACATTCTCAAAGAGTCTTACTCATTTCAGGAAAATAAAAGCATCTAATGTCTGATAAAGCAATGGGGGAAAATGCCGAGCTTTTATAATGGAGTGTGGCTTTTTTTTTTCTTTTTGGGTCACACCCTGCAATGCACAGGGGTTACTCCTGGCTCTGCACTCAGGAGTTACTCCTGGTGGTGCTCAGGGGACCCTATGGGATGCTGGGAATTGAACCTGGGTTGGCTGCGTGCAAGGCAAACGCCTTACCCTCTGAGCTATCTCTCCAGCTCCGTTTTTTTTTTTTAAATGGTGGAAAAGCTTATACAAGACAGAAAACAAATTTTAGTGCTAACACTATACATTAAAAACAAAACAAGACAAAACAAAACAAAACACCAAACAAAGCATGAAGTCTCAGCAAATCCAGGTCACGGCCACTCTTTCTGAGATGGAGGGGCTGTCACGGTCACCCCGTCATTCATCCATTTGCTTGAGCAGGCCCAGTAACGTCTCCATTGGAGACTTTGTTGTTACTGTGTTTGGCATATCGAATACGTCACAGGGAGCTTGCCAGGCTCGGCTGCGGGCGAGATACTCTTGGTAGCTTGCCGCACTCTCCGAGAGGAGTAGAGGAGTCACTCTCCGAGAGGAGTAGAGGAGTCGAACTCGGGTCGGCCACGTTGGCCGCTTGTAAGGCAAACCCCTACCGCTGTGCTATTGCTAGGGCTGGTGCGATAGCACAGCGGTAGGGCATTTGTCTTGCACGCAGCCAACGTGGCCGACCCGAGATGGCGGGGCAAGGACCATAAAACAAATGGAGAAATGGAAAATTATAAGTATAGAAGAAAAATAAGGAGTATTTAGGGAAAAGCGCACAGCAAGGTAAATATGAAATAGTGACAAGAAAAGGAGGTAGAGAAAAGAAGGAGAGAGTAAAAGCAAGCAGTGGAGAAAGGGAGAAACAAAACTTGAGAAAAAAATATCAAGAGACCTAGGGGAGAGTAAGGAGGGGGGTAAGAGTTTGTAGGCTGGAAGGGAGGGAGACTGGAAGAGAAAAATGGCGGGGTTGAAGAACTAGTACAGAGGGTAGAGAAGGTACTTGTTTTACATGTGCCTGTGTGCCTGACCTTGGTTTTAGCCTTGGCACTGCATATGGTCCCCTGAACATGGTCAGGAGTGACACCGTATCACTGCCACCCCATTGTTCATCGATTTCCTCGAGCAGGCACCAGTAACGTCTCCATTCGTTCTGAACCTAAGATTTTAGCAAGTGCCACATTGGAGGCTCTTTCAGGGTCAGGGGAATGAGACCCATCACTGTTACTGGTTTTGGCATATTGAATACACAATGGGGAGCTTGCCAGACTTTGCCGTGCAGGCAGAATGGTTCTCGAGAGCAAGAACTAGACAATAATCAGGAGTGACAAAAGAAAAAAAAGAAAAAGGAGGATGGAAGAACGGTAAAAGAAAAGGAAAAAGGAGGTTGGAAGAGGAAGGGAGAAGAGACTCTAAGAGGAATTAAGGAATGGGCAGACAGATAGTTCTAAATGCTGGAGCACACAGGAACCACAGGTTTGACTGCTGGTACTGCATGATCCCCCAAGCGTTATTGGGAGTGAACCCTGAGCACCACTGGGTGTGACCTCCAAAGAAAAGGTAAAAAAAAGAAAAGGCACATAAATTTGGAGGGACACCAAATTATGACATATGCAACAATAAACTCTCAAATTCTCTTCCCATCCAAAACAAGTCCACCAAACACATGCAGTTTTTCAGAATGCTTTTTTTTACAAAGTTTATCGCCTACACTTTCAAGATGTAGGAATTAAGCTTGCCCAAGAGTGCGAAACAGGAAATTCCTTTTCTTCTCTCAGTCCCCTTTCCATTTACTGTTTTTCGATGAATTTGGCCACTGCTCACCTGGGATGAAATACTTAGCTGTGACGCTCGCTCAGAATTACACACTTAGTTCTGCTACTTAGACGCACTTGGTTCTGTCAGTGCCAGGGATCAAACTCAAATCATACCGAGTCAGTCACACTTGAAAGGGAAAGATGTCACTGCTGAGCCAAACCCAGGCACTGAAGAAGGTTTCATATCTAAGGGTGTATCTCTATTTCATCTTTAGTGAACATCAACTACTATGTATTACTGAGGCCCAAACACTTAGAATCCTGCCTCTCAAGACCAATAGTTCCATCTCGTGTGACCTAATGTACCGAGCGTGGACCCAGCAGCTCCACAGTTTGTGATGCTGAGTAACAAACGAATTCTAGCTGTATCACAGCTAGGAAGAGCGACCCCTTGGTGAGCACGTGCCTGAGACACAATCACTATCTGTTACACTCAGCGTGTTTGACTCCCGGTATAGCAACATGAATCACAGAAGGAAGGAAAAGGGAAAAAATACTGTATAACTGGCAACTTTTGAGATTTTCAGACTTACGAACTAAATTCTTGGCTATAGAGATAGTACAGCAGGTAAGTTACGTGTCTTGCACATGGATTTGATTCCTGACACCACGTATGGTCCCCTGAACACTGCAAGGAGTGATCCCTGAACACAAAGCCAAGAGTAAGCCCAAAGCACAGCAGGATAGTCCTCCCCCCTTAAAAAAGAAAACAAAACCCTATGTTTCAATGCTTCTAAGGAAAACTAAGAAAAAGGAAGTATATCACTTTTCTAAATTTAAGATTTTATTATGTATTCATTTACAAAATAAAATTTCTGAGATGCTTTTACCTCTAGGCAAGAAAATCCTTATTCAAAGTTTTTTCACTTTTTAGATTTTTGGGCCTGAGAAATGAGAACAATTTAAAATTGAATGCTGGTTAATTCCTACTAGCTAATTTATATGAAGCTAGTATACTGTTTTCTGAATAGAGATAACACATTTAAGATAAGATATAAGAAGTTAAACTGAGAATAAGAATTCATTAAAAATCTTATTTGAATTAGTGAGAAATAAACCACATACTGAGCTTCTTCTATGTGCCAGAGGACAGTGATTTCTTTAACAAGTTTTCAAATGTAAATTTTATATGAAGGAATCAGAAAAGTATTTTGTCATCATGTAAAAGGAGTTACAGAATATTAAAGTGGTAAAACCACGTAACTGTTTTGGGTTACCTTTCTTTTAACTAAAATTGTGAAATACAGATACTCTGTAGTGACAATTTAAACTATATATGTTGAAAGCTGCTAAAATAAATTTCACGGTATAAAATTCTATGTTATTCTTTTTATGTTAAGTAAAATAGCTTTGTATAGGGAAATCTATGTAGAGGAGCTGGAGGGAGTGGAGAAATGGTGGAGAGAAAGGGGGAGAGGGTGAGGAGAGAGAGTGAAAAGGAAGAGAAGGGAATGGAGGAAAACGGGGTGGGGGAAGAGAGGGAAAGGAAGGGGAGAGGCGAAGCAGCAGGGAGAGGGCAAGGGAGAAGGTGAGGGAGGAAACAAAATAGGTTTTGCCAGAGGGGAAAAGTCCCCTTTTATAAGTATGAATCTGAAAACAGAACACACCCTAAAATAAACTGGAATAAACTTGTAATCTAGTAATGATTAATTCACTACCTTGTAATCATTTTTTCCTGGGGGGGGGGGGGGTGTGTGACGGGATAAGCTGCATCCAGCTGTGCTCAGGGCTTACTCCTGGCTCCTGGCCATGTGCTCTGGGGACCATATGCAGTACCTAGGACCAACAGGGGTCAATTGTGTTCCAGGCAAACGCCTTACTTGCTGTATTATCTCTCTAGCACTTAAGTAATCATTTCACGTGAGCAAGTAAATATCCTTATCCTGAGGCAGAAATCAAAAACCTTTTCATTAAAATAATTCATGGATATTGTATTTAATATTTAAAAGACTGGAGTGAAATAACATTTAACGTGGAAAAACACAAAACTCCTTTTGTATGACTATAGCATTTAAAGACTAATAGGATCATTCCTTTGTTATTCCTGTCTAAAGGGGCAACCCCCCTCACCGAACCCTGAACACTTACTGATGCAAATATTCTACTA